CAGTTATACAAAGAGTAAGTACCCTAAAATTTGCGTAGAAATTACCCAGTTTTCCCCATAAAATACAAAGATTATATAGGGAAATACAACTGGTCAGTTTTGACCCCTTTACGAAGTTTTCCCAGATATGCCGAGTTTTTTGTGACACCCCTAGGGTTTCTTCTACCACCTCACAAAATATCAAGGGGGGTCGTCGGAGGAAATTTTTTTTCGTAATACAGCTCATATAAAGAGAATTTCACTCGCGGTCACTTTTTAGCCCTCGTCGAGGGCTTTGATTGAAACCGACAGTTTTCCCTAAAGGTCAAGCCATTGACCTAGGAGCATGCAAAAAATTAGCCAGATATACTGAGCTTAAGTACCCTAAAGTCTGCGTTGAAATGACCCTCTGTTTTTCCCATAAAATACAAAGATTATATAGGGAAATACAACTGGTCAGTTTTGACCGCTTTACGAAGTTTTCCCAGATATGCCGAGTTTTTTGTGACACCCCTAGGTGTTCTTCTACCACCTCACAAAATATCAAGGGGGGTCGTCGGAGGAAATTTTTTTTTCGTAATACAGCTCATATAAAGAGAATTTCACTCGCGGTCACTTTTTAGCCCTCGTCGAGGGCTTTGATTGAAACCGACAGTTTTCCCTAAAGGTCAAGCCATTGACCTAAGAGTATGCAAAAAATTAGCCAGATATACTGAGCTTAAGTACCCTAAAGTCTGCGTTGAAATGACCCTCTGTTTTTTCCATAAAATACAAAGATTATATAGGGAAATACAACTGGTCAGTTTTGACCGCTTTACGAAGTTTTCCCAGATATGCCGAGTTTTTTGTGACACCCCTAGGTGTTCTTCTACCACCTCACAAAATATCAAGGGGGGTCGTCGGAGGAATTTTTTTTTCGTAATAGAGCTCATATAAAGAGAATTTCACTCGCGGTCACTTTTTAGCCCTCGTCGAGGGCTTTGAGTCAAACCGACAGTTTTCCCTAAAGGTCAAACCATTCACCTAAGAGTATGCAAAAAATTAGTCAGATATACTGAGTTTAAGTACCCTAAAGTCTGCTTTGAAATGACCCTCTGATTTTCCCATAAAATACAAAGATTATATAGGAAAATACAACTGGTCAGTTTTGACCCCTTTACGAAGTTTTCCCAGATATGCCGAGTTTTTTGTGACACCCCAAGGTGTTCTTCTACCACCTCACAAAATTTCAAGGGGGGTCGTCGGAGGAATTTTTTTTTCGTAATAAAGCTCATATAAAGAGAATTTCACTTGCGGTCACTTTTTAGCCCTCGTCGAGGGCTTTGAGTGTAACCGACAGTTTTCCCTAAAGGTCAAGCCATTGACCTAGGAGCATGCAAAAAATTAGCCAGATATACTGAGCTTAAGTATCCTAAAGTCTGCGTTGAAATGACCCTCTGTTTTTCCCATAAAATACAAAGATTATATAGGGAAATACAACTGGTCAGTTTTGACCCCTTTACGAAGTTTTCCCAGATATGCCGAGTTTTTTGTGACACCCCAAGGTGTTCTCCTACCACCTCACAAAATTTCAAGGGGGGTCGTCGGAGGAATTTTTTTTTCGTAATAGAGCTCATATAAAGAGAATTTCACTCGCGGTCACTTTTTAGCCCTCGTCGAGGGCTTTGAGTGTAACCGACAGTTTTCCCTAAAGGTCAAGCCATTTACCTATAAGCATGCCAAAACTGAGCCAGATGTAAAGAGGGTAGGTGCCAAAAAATCCGTTTTGAAATGACCCTCTGTTTTCCCCATAAAATACAAAGATTATATAGGGAAATACGACTGGTCAGTTTTGACCCATTTCCCGATTTTTCCCAGACATGGCGAGTTTTTTTTGACACCCCAAGGCGTTCTCCTACCACCTCACAAAATATCAAGGGGGGTCGTCGGAGGAATTTTTTTTTCGTAATAGAGCTCATATAAAGAGAATTTCACTCGCGGTCACTTTTTAGCCCTCGTCGAGGGCTTTGAGTGTAACCGACAGATTTCCCTAAAGGTCAAGCCATTTACCTATAAGCATGCCAAAACTGAGCCAGATGTAAAGAGCGTAAGTGCCATAAAATCCGTTTTGAAATGACCCTCTGTTTTCCCCATAAAATACAAAGATTATATAGGGAAATACGACTGGTCAGTTTTGACCCATTTCCCGATTTTTCCCGGACATGGCGAGTTTTTTGTGACACCCCAAGGTGTTCTTCTACCACCTCACAAAATATCAAGGGGGGTCGTCGGAGGAATTTTTTTTTCGTAATAGAGCTCATATAATGAGAATTTCACTCGCGGTCACTTTTTAGCCCTCGTCGAGGGCTTTGAGTGTAACCGACAGTTTTCCCTAAAGGTCAAGCCATTGACCTAGGAGCATGCAAAAAATTAGCCAGATATACTGAGCTTAAGTATCCTAAAGTCTGCGTTGAAATGACCCTCTGTTTTTCCCATAAAATACAAAGATTATATAGGGAAATACAACTGGTCAGTTTTGACCCCTTTACGAAGTTTTCCCAGATATGCCGAGTTTTTTGTGACACCCCAAGGTGTTCTCCTACCACCTCACAAAATTTCAAGGGGGGTCGTCGGAGGAATTTTTTTTTCGTAATAGAGCTCATATAAAGAGAATTTCACTCGCGGTCACTTTTTAGCCCTCGTCGAGGGCTTTGAGTGTAACCGACAGTTTTCCCTAAAGGTCAAGCCATTGACCTAGGAGCATGCAAAAAATTAGCCAGATATACTGAGCTTAAGTATCCTAAAGTCTGCGTTGAAATGACCCTCTGTTTTTCCCATAAAATACAAAGATTATATAGGGAAATACAACTGGTCAGTTTTGACCCCTTTACGAAGTTTTCCCAGATATGCCGAGTTTTTTGTGACACCCCAAGGTGTTCTACTACCACCTCACAAAATTTCAAGGGGGGTCGTCGGAGGAATTTTTTTTTCGTAATATAGCCCATATAAGGCGCCGGTCAGTCGAGGTCAGTTTTGACCCCCTCTCCGTAGACTTTTTGCCGAACCGTCACCGGCCCTCGTGTTCTATCGCCATAAGGCACCTTCGTGCCAAATTTGACGCGCCTGCGGCGCCGGGAAGTGCCCTATCGGGCACCCGACCACTTTGCTTTATATATATAGATTAAGGCAAGGGCGCCATGTTCCCTTTGGTGGAAGTTAAAGAGTATTACATTGACTTTTAAAATTAATTTCAATACTTTAATTAGGATACATTCATATAACACAAATGAATGCAATATTTCGTCATTTTCTGTTTGTGTTATAAAATAGTCTAAAATTGTTTAAAAAAATATTTTAAAAAGTTACCTCTTTGTAAATTGAACGAATGACGTAGTCTTTGTTTAATTTATTTTTTTTCACAAATATGGCATGTGGACAATTTTAACGACCATGATGTTTTTTTTCCCTCGGAAATAAAGGTTTTTTTGTTACCATCACAAAATATTAGGGGGATTGTTCGCAATTTTGTTTATATATAGCTAATATAAGGAGAATTTCACTCGCGTTCATTTTTTAGCCCTCGCCGTGCAAACAGAGGCTGACCAATAGTTTATCCATAAGCCCGATTCATTTTCTTCCTGTCCCCTTGTGGCCGATGTACACAAGAGTTTTCAAAGGGTTCCTACGTGAGAAATTTCTTTTGATATATAGCTCATATAAGGAGAATTTCACTCGTGGTCACTTTTTAGCCCTCGCCGTACGAGCAGAGGCTGACCGATAGTTTACCCATAAGACCGATTCATTTGCCCAGGTTCATGTAAAAAATGAGCCAGATGCACAGAGCCAAAGTTCCAAAACATTGTTTTGAAAATAGTCATCGTTTTTCACCAAATTAACAATGTTTATATAGGGAAAATTCGGACCGGTCAGTTCTAAAGCTCTTCCGGAATTTGCCCGAACATATCAGTTTTTTTTGCCACCCCCGAGGTTATGAAGAGGTTCCTACGTGGGAAATTTATTTCGATATGTAGCTCATATAAGGCGCCGGTCAGTCGAGGTCAGTTTTGACCCCCTCTTTGCGACCAACCGGCACCGGCCCCCCCGTGTTGTATTGCCCAAGGCAGGACCCTGCCAAGTTTGAAGCGCCTGCGGCGCCGTGAAGTGCACGATCGGGCACCCGAGCACTTTGCTTTATATATATCGATAATTAGTTATTTTTGCTTAAAATAAGGAGTGATGTATGTGTCATTTGGCATAGCTGCTGTTTGCTTGTAAAAAAGCTCAGCATGATGTGTTGTATATTTCATTGAAAGTGAAAGTTACTATATGTTTGACGCCTTCACGTTGGTAATCTGTTGTTGCCTATATAAAGAAAAAACTCTGCTATAAGACAGCTCAAAATATTTTAATATACCTAAAAACAGAAACATAAACTGCCTCCATATAGGCTAAAAATATAAATAACGCAACAAACTGTCATAAACTAATCAACTAGATAAAATGTTCTTATTAGTTTTGTAAATATTTTTAATCGAAATTTTAATAATCACAATAAACCAATATATACAGGTAAAGAAGTCCACATGCCCCATACATTCGGCTAGTCTTCTTCTGTTAAACTTTAATGTAAAATTAAAAAGCACACTTCATCTGCATAAATCAAATATAAGCCTTTTCAGTTTATACAGTGCATATCTAAAATAGTGCCGTTCGAGATCATCCCCACTTTCACCGCCTAAGATATGCCACTGGCAAATGGCATGCCATTTACATTTTAGGCCTAAATGAATTTCCATCATGATCGGCTTAAATGTGTAAAATCTAGAGTATAGTGTAAATATATTGTTCATATATATTATAGATTATTAACTTTTCGAACGGTTTCTGTACCACGGCAGGCCCTCGTGTTATAAAACACACACCACTACGTGGCGTGTGTTTTTTCCTAATAGGAAACAGCCTGTTTAACCAAGTCTTTGACGAGTCATTTCTAACCGACTATACGCTGTATGAACTAACATATAACTCGTTAACGTGGAATTTACAAACAGCACATTATGTATTGTATTTAAAAATTCGATCGATTATATTTGTTGAATGCAATTTAAATATGATATAGATAACTAAAATTAAGTTAGAATTTTAAAGCAATATCGACCAGTACGCTTCGTCGCTAGTAAAGCTTTTTAAGGAATGTTGATAGCACCGATAGCAGGATCTTCCAGTTTACCTTGGAACAATAGTACCTTAGTCTGATCATCTCTAATGAAAAACACGAAGGGGCGGTCGACGTTAAAGGTGACCACATCACCTGGTTGCACGGCGCTGACTGGAACAAGAACCGCTGCCGTCGCAGCCGCTGCCACGGTGCCAGACTCTTGCACCTCTATGACAGCTTTCTGCAGGAGCGCGCTAATTTTCGACGGGGTATCGGTAATTCCCGAAAAATTCGCCGCGTTACTGAACGCGGTGGGCATTCCCATTTGGGATAACGCGGCTTTAAGGTTCATTGAAGCGGAGAGGGCAAATTTCGGTAAGAAGAGCTCTACTTGTTTATCTGTTAAATCGTTAAAGAGGCTGTCTACAGCCGTGTCGTTACTGCTTAGCGCTTTCTCCATTTCGTCAAGATCGGGTTTGGATTTGGGCAAAGCGATATAGAACGCGAATCTCGGATTAGCGAAAGACATTCTTAAGACATCAATGTTGTTCAAGGCCGAGAGCTTGATCTGATAACCGGACACCTGATTCATCATATCAACCGGAACTGTCGACCCATCCGGCTTGGTGAAATCTTTCTTCGATGTTTTATTCACCTGGAACATAGAGCTCCAGGTCGCGTTGAAGAAGATCGTGTTGACTAGAACCAGCTGAGTGTCAGTATTTATGACACCCGGCTGCAGAATGTCAGTGATTTTATTGTCAGTGTTGTTGGCCACCCAGGAGTTGATCAGAGCTTCCGGGCCACCGGCTGCGTTGAAGTCTAAGGCCTGGGAAACGGCGTCGTACTTGCTCACAATGGCACTCTGGAAGACAAGCACACCACACGTGATTAAGATACATGCACAATTTTGTGTAAATAGGATGACAAAACAGCTACTTTTAAAATAATATTTTTAAAAAAATTGTTCTTTTAACTTATATGAATGTCACCAGTGTTTCTTCCAGACTTTTTCTCCAGTAATGGGGGTGGGGGGGGGGGGGGGGGGGCGGAGCTTCCCCCCCCCACCCCAACCCCGACGAAGAAATGCCTGGAAGATACTCTGAACTGAATGTTACTTTTAGGCAGAAATTCAATTCAACCCTGTCTATTCTTCGCCGGTATCGCTATCAGACTATAAGAGTAATGATAAAGGTTTAGGGCTTAGGGCCAGGTATGTGTAAAGCCGATAAAAATCCAAACATTGTAAAATTTAAGATAAAAGTAAAATTATCGATAATGATGTCAGTTATAGAAGTGTAGGCTTGGCTTATTGATTAGAGCTTTATCATCTCTTCGGTAGAGAGGGGAGTGGCATTGTCCGCCCCCCCCCCCCTTCGGGATGAAAAAAATATACTTTAACTAGCGTCCTACCCTATCGGAAATGTTAAGTGCCCCAACCCCCCGGACGAAATGGAAAAAAATATAGAGAGAATGTATACTCCAACTAGCGACCACCCGTATAGAAAATGTCAAGTGTCACTCCCTACCTCCCCCCCCCCCCCACCCTGAGGCGTAGCGACCCTTCCCGGCGCCCGGGGACAAACTTTCGATTTGCAACCCATCAAACTTTCCATTTGCACCCCCCCCTCAAGCTTTCAATTTATTTTTCCAACCCATTTTGGCGCCCCCTAAGGTCGGCGCCCTGGGACACAAAAAGTTTAAAATGCCCCACGCCCGAGGGAACAAAATTCCTGAAAGAGAACCCTGTAATCGACTAGTATTGAGACGTGCTAATTGTACTAATTACCTGGTATTCAGGAAGAATGGTGCTGGCAGGGTTGAAGAAGAGGCCGTTAGCTTTAAGCAGCTCCACATCTTGGACTGAATTGAGATCTTGTATCAGTTGGTTGTAGGCGGAGTGTGGGTCTGTCATGTTGGTCACCTGCCAGAACAATTTTTTTTTAATGTGCCATTTTTTTTCTACTAGTGATTAAATATAGGCCTACATGATTTGAGTGATAATTAGGCCTCAACTAGTAAGCAGTATTTCTTCCAGGCATCTCTTCGGGAGGACTTATACTTTTAACAGTGTCCGCCCCACACCCCCCGGAAATTTTAGTCCCACCCCTAAAAACAATATTCCAAGTGCCCCCCCCCCCTCTTCCCCCCCCCCCCGAGAAAAAAGTCTGGAAGAAACACTGGTAGTTAGAATAAAAATTAGGTCTCATGTAATAACGTTAAGAACTTTTTATATATAAAAACGGTAGTGCTTTAACATGAGATAAACCATGTATACATTTAAAAACATATTTGGCTCAGAATACTACAGATTGCAGCATTATCAAGACAGAGCTAGTCGGTCACCTCCAATCATCACAGAACAATAGTCACAGAACATAAAGAAAAATAAAACCGTAATATTAAAGCAGGGATGTGGTCGGAAGGTAGAGCTTACGACTTGCAACTCCAAAGTTTCCTGTTCGGATCCCAGGCTCGAGTAATGAGAACATCCCTGAGTTGACCTAACTCTGATGGGTGTCTGGTTTTCATAAAGGAAACAACCCTGTATGCCGAGGTCATTGAAACTCTTCTTCATCTGCCCCATTTGGGCACGAACAGGAAAACATGACTATTAACGCAAATAGATGTGTTAGATATCTGTTGCAATAGATGTGACATTTCTTTTGAAATGTTTACTCAAAGAGGCAGGCGTAATTGGTTAAGCTCATGGTTGCTGAACCGAAAAGTCCCCGGGCGGATGAAGTTGAAAGCTATAATAGCTACTCAAGAGACAACGCCAAAATAACGCATTAACGCCAAAATCAAACAACTGCTGCCTTGAAGTTTCTTCCTGTTTAGACAAAGGCTATGTAAGCAAATAAAAAAAACAAAATAGGTGCCAAATGCCTATATGGCGCATAACAAGTTGACACATAATACTTAATTGTGTAATAGGGGAAGGGTTGGGGGACGACTTGCACATTCTAAAGGAGGGTTGCTAAGATGCCGCATGTTGAACCATACATTTCGTCAACCTCAAACAAAGTCTTCTCTACATAAAGCAAAGTAGAGAAAATCGACAAACTGTGGTCTTTAGAGTGGATTGGTCAGGTTGAAGACTGGTTAGGTGAAGGCTAGAGTAAAGACCTGCACAGCTAAATCCTTTAAGAAAGTAGTCCGCAGAATGAGGTTACACTCGACAAAATCCTCGGTCTAGTTCTATACAACCTAACGATCAAACCAGGTTTTTAAGTATGGGGGGGGGGGGGGGAAGAGAAGCCAGAATATATGCCTACTCTATTCTCCTATGACCTCTTTCTAGGCCTTCTAAATAGTTACCCTTTCAAGCATAGTGTCGGGCAGATGAAGTAGAGTCCACCTGTTTCTGTGACCTCGAAATGTTATGAAGGGATAGTGATCATCAATATGCCTAACGCCTTTACTCTCTTTCTCTAACATTAGTTAAGCCCATCCGAACTTATGTTCTAAAACCCGGGATCCGAACTCGACACATCGGGTTACTAGTCGTGCGCTCTTTTCACCGACCACGCCGTTCATTATGAAACATGACATAAGCTGCGTACAAACAATGCAAAATATCATGATAACTACTTACCTGTAAAGTGGCCGCCATTTCTTCTGCGGTGTCACCCCGCGCCCCTAACAACACCATTGAGAGGCAGGTGTGAGCGCTGAGTGGAGAGTATATGGCCAGCGGTTTGTTCTTTGCGATCTCCTGGTACAGTTTCTGTGAAAACAGGGAGATGGCGTTGGAGAGTTCCAATACCTCCGATGGAAGGACCGCTAGACATGGTAGCACTAGCACAGCAATTAAAGTTAAAGTTAACATTTTAAGTTATTGTTGTGGCAAAAATATTTAAGAAGTAGAATATGTCTTATGCTTCTATTAATCTTTTTGGGCAAGCTTATATAGGCCGAAAACAGACATAAATAGATGGATTAATTCTTTAGTCACCAGAGCCATTAGCCGCGTAATTTCATTGGTCGAAACAAGCACGTGGTTCGCTGAAGGAAAAAACTCATTTTTCAATAGCTACCTTCTAGTAATTAGGAAGGTCATTCAACTAGACAAAAGTAAAGAAAAATAAATAGGATGTTTGCCTTGTGAGGTTTTTTTTAAAATTTCAATATATTTTTGGCACGGTAAATTTACTGTAAAATAAAATGACTTTTATTTTTTAAATGCTTGAAATAAGTTTCCACTACTGCGATTCACAGTTTCTCTTCCAAAATATTTTTCACGATTTTTGAATCCGGTTAGTCAATAACATACTGATCATCGATATTTTGATATGTACACAGCTATGCCCACAGCTAATAGACTCTGGTCACTGACATTCTGTTCAGTGTTTCTTCTAGACTATTTTCTCCGGGGGTGGGGGTGGGTGGACACTGGTAAAGGTATATGTTTTCTATATAAATTCCTTTTCGTTCGAGGGGCTCCGCCCCCCCCCCTCCCCGAAGAGATGCCTGGAAGAAACTCTGATTCTGTTATGTCCTTAGTATCATAGTTCACTGATATTGTACTTTCTAATAGGGTTGTTCACTTGACATTCCTGATATAACAACACATACAGCTTGTATGAGATAGATCTATATATGGAGTATAATGGAGAGTAGACAACAAAACACTCACGCACTCTGCGCGTCCCTAAGCACTGCACCGCACTGCACCGCACGCTCACTCACACGCACACAAACAATAAGCATAGATTTACATGCATCCAGGGTTGGACTAGCTCTGTTCCAAGAGGCCCGGGAAATTTAAAAGGCTTCCCCAACCTCAGATTAACATTTTCTTTGTGCAGTTTTCACTTCAAAGCCTGACGATCATCCCAAGCTTGAAGGAAATTCACGCAACAAATTATTTAAAAATCAACCAATCAAAGCACTATATGACCTCGGAAGCCCACCTGGAGGCCACCGGAATATTTTATATGGGGGTCCACCGAGATTTTTTCCGGTAGACCGGCGGGTCAGTCCACCCCTGCATATATCTGTAGTTATTGTCTTGCAATGGCAGATGGATCATGGTTAAACGATGTGTAGTGTTATAGCCTTGGTTTTAAAAAAAAACAACAACAAAAATAAAGTTTTAGAGTTTAAATAGTTTACGGTACCATTTTCCTTGTGTAAATTAATTTTTAATTGCGCACTGTGTGTAAGTACATTTATATAAACAAGCATCTTTACTAGCTATAAATTTTGACACGCGCACAAGTTACACCTTACGCTAATTGACAAGTTCAGACAAGTTGACGCCACAGACTTGGTAAAATGATTAACAGCGGTTATTTATGTCAAAATGGATGAACAATTTGTGAACAGACGAGGGGTGTAAAATTACACATTACATTTGTTTTAATATAAGTTTGATGTTGTTTAATGTATCACAACTAAGGTGTAGTTTTGCTATTAGTTGCGACTACCCCTCCCTCATAATGTTAGCAGAAATCTTGAATTAAATGGTTCTTTACACAACCCTTATGGCCTATGGAATGTTGTCTACGGCAAGTTGGCATCTTAGATGCAAGTAGATCTCCTAAGTCAAGGGTAAGTTGGCATTACATGGTAATCTGACATTCTGACATACTATCGAAGGTTGATTGACATCGTAGAGTAGGTTGACATTCTATGGCAAGTTGACATCTTATACTAGTTGACATTTTAGGGCAAGTTGACATATCAGGGCAAATTGACATCCCAGGCAAGTTGACATCATATAGCAAATTGATGTTCTAGGGTAAGTTTACATCACAATGTAAGTTGACATAATATTGCAGGCTGACATCGTAGGGTATGTTGACAATCTAAGTTGACATCTTAATACAAGTTGACATATTAAGGCAAGTTGACATATCAGGCCAAGTTGACATCATATGACAAATTAACGTTCTAGGGTAAGTTGACATTATATAGAAAGTTGACATCCCACGGCAAGTAGACATCAACTAGCAAATTGATGTTCTAGGGCAAGTTGACATCCTAGGCAAGTTGACACCCAACGAAAATTGACTTTACATTCTAAGTCTCACCAAGGAGCTAGTGAACACCCCTAGACAGTTAACATCAGTGTCTCTTCCAGGTATCTCTAGGGGCGGGGGGTAAGTAGACTTCGCCCCCCCCCCCCCAAGAAAGTCTACCCCTTCCCCCCCCCCCCCCCCCCGAACGAAATGAAATTTATACAGAAAACATATACTTTTACCAGCGTCCGACCGCCACCCCCCCCCCCCCCCCCCCCCCCGGAAAATTTAGTCCGTCCGAAATTTTCAGGTGCCTCCCCATCCCCCCGGAGAAAAAAGTCTGGAAGAAACACTGGTTAACATAATCTAATGTTAAAGCAATATTTCCACCGCTAGTTCTTCAGACGCCCTCTAAGTGACCGCCAGTCACCCCATAGGAAATCACAACAAATGGCCCATGGAGCATGCGCAGAAGGATGCGAAAAATATCACTCTTGAAAACATGTTTTTCCTCCGTTACTGCATGTTTATGCTCGATCTTTAATCCCCGTGTCTTGACGTACACATACATGTTGTATTGTCTCTGTCTAAGCAAGCAGGATACAGGAAATCATTTGTTGCTAACGGGGCAGGCACGATTGTTTATAAGTCTCCCAGGGCGACAGGTACAAACGACCTTTGATAGTGGTCTCAGGGACGAAAGGGTGGGGGTGGGAAGGTGGGTAGTGGTGTGGGTGGAGTAACGAGCAGTTAGTTTTTAATTCATCAAAGTTGGGCAGTTGAAAACATGTTCACCATGCTAGTGTGAAGGCCTACATCTATAGGCCTTATCATTTTTAACAAAAAAATATATTAAGAAAATAAATAATAAAATGTATTCATGGTTCTATTCTCCGTCACACAATGTCACACAAAACGCCAGACCCCCCCCCCCCTAAAATGACGTCGTCACATACCAGCCTACACCCCCCCCTCAAAATTGCAGTTTAATTTTTCTTAAAACATCGATATTTTTCCAAAATCTTGTCTGAACTCTGTCAACATAGATTATTTTAATCAATGTCTATTTCAATGTATCAAAGTTTTCTAAAACACGAAATAACGGCTAAAATTCGTTTTCTAACATTGCTTTATATACATATATATATATATATATATATATATATATATATATATATATATATATGTATATATATATATATATATATATATATATATATATATATATATATATATATATATATATATATATATATATATATATATATATATATTGCAAAAGTGTGGTGTCACACTAACTGCCCCCCCCCCCCCCATCACATAGCGTCACAAAATTACGGACCCTCCTCTCCCATAAGTAAGACCATTTACTGCGTTGACAAGCAGTGTTTCTTTCAGACTGTTTTCTCCGGGGAGCAGGGAGGGGGCGCTAAAATTGATCTAAGGGGCCATCCATAAATGACGTCACGCTTGTAGGGGGGAGGGGGGTCCGTAATTTTGTGACGATGTGTGATGAGGGGGAGGGGGGGTTCAGATGTTGCGACGCCACATTTTTGCATTATAAAAAAGCAATGTTAGAAAACGAATTTTAGACGTTATTTTGCGTTTTAGATAACTGTTTTAATAAATTGTAATAGTTTAGACTAGATTTTGGAAAAATGTCGATGTTTTTTAAAAAATTCAACTGCAATTTTGAGGGGGGTTGTAGGTTGAGGTGTGACGTCATTTTAGGGGGGGGGGGGTCTGGCTTTTTGTGACGACGTGTGACGGAGGGGAGGGGGGGGGGGGGAGGTAAAAATCGTCCAAAAAAGCGTGACGTCATTTATGGATGACCCCTAAGGCTCCTCCCCTACCCAACACGCTCAGCCTCTGCTTTTGTGTGTTATGAATTGAAAATTTTCCAAATCGTACGTAACGTTTAATTTGGTGGCTAGTCTATCCTTATTTTCATTTTTGTCATGGTTTTGTTGCCATTGTCTTTTCATATAGACTCGACTATGTATAATTATATTGCGATTGTTAGTAGTCTTGTTTTTTTTCCCGTAATTAAAAAAAAAGCGCCCTGCTATGAAACGAATTAATAAAGGAACTGGCCATGTACTTCCTGCCAGTGGCGTAGCGAGGTCGGGTGTCACCCGGTGTGGCACTTAATGGTGTCACCCCCCCCAGAGGCGTAGCGACTCTTCCCGGGGACAACCTTTCAATTTTCGATTTGCACCCCCCCCCCCCCCCCCCTCGAACTTTCGATTTGAACCCCCCCCCCCTCGAACAAATTTTCTCTATATATTTTTACTATTTTTTGCCTTGGTGTCACCCCCCTAAATGGTGTCACCCGGTGCGGTCCGCACCCTCGCACCCCCCTCGCTACGCCTCTGCTTCCTGCCATCTTTTGAGTGACCAAATGAAAAACAGCAGAGCTAATATATTAAGGAATGATAACCGTATTTGTTTAATGTTTTTAACTTCTCCTTATTATTCCCCTTCGTCGAAGATTTTTTAAAATAGTTCGTATTGGAATTTCAGAAATAGAAAGGTGAACAAGCACAGAGTCATGATTCATATGCGTATGAATACAAACTATTTTATACATCTTTTCTGTATTTTATCTTAACTAGAATGAGAGAAATATACATTTCCAACGTTTTAAAATTATAATTTATTTTGTTTAAAATATTCTCAACCGTTTTAGAATATCTAGTCTATACTAGAATCTAGAAACAATTCAGTTCCGTATGCGTATGGCGTAAGGTTTTTAGGGTTGAGTTTTAAAAACTAAGCTAAGTAATGTCACACACAATCGATGTGATTTTCCCAGTGACTGGTCTGTGAGATCAAAACATGACATGAAAGTTTTTCTGATATCCCCCGTCTCTGCTAAGAACTGCAGATACAAGGACTTATATGGAAGAGCCTTGAAAATGATAAATATGCAAGTTGAGGAAAAATGTTTTACAAAAGCCCTCCGCACGACACTTGTTGTTTTGTTTATTCTTCAGTTGGTAAGGAACCGTAACTTAACGGCTAACGCGTAGAGTTCAAAGAACACACATTTTTTTTTATTAATCTAATAATATTGCTATTAGTCTAGATTCTAGATCTAGAAATCTAGGCCCTAATTTCTAATATTTTATAGATCTAGATCTAGTTACTAGTTAGGCCTCTAGAACTTAATCAGGATATTTTAAATATTTTGTTTTAGTGTACTGTAGGCCTACACTGTACACTACAGTGACTTACAGTGTACTGTTACTGGGTAAAATCTTAGTTTAGCGTCGTAAATTCCAACGTAGCTAGTAATGTGCGATGAAGGTAACTAATGAATATTTCTTTCAATTGGCCATATTTATGTCATATTTTACACAATATAACAGATAATTGAATAACAAATCACAATCCAAGACCAAACCAGTCATAAATAACCTGGAATAAACTTTAAACTACCCCGTTCGAGACAACAATGAGTAAATACAAGCAGCGGCCATGTTTTAAAAACAATAAATTGTCTATTCGCATGTCTTTTGTGTTGATTTTGTGGTTTAATATGATTGTTTTGTATTGTTTTAATATATGCCGGGGGGGGGGGGGGGTCGTCCATAAATGACGTCACACTCGTAGGGGGGAGGGGGTCCGTAATTTTGTGACGTTGTGTGATGAGGGGGAGGGGTTCAGATGGTGCGACGTCACACTTTTGCATTTTAAAAAAGCAATGTTACAAAACGAATTATAGACGTTATTTTGCGTTTTAAAAAACTGTTTTAATACATTGTAATAACAATTGATTAAAATACTCTATTTTGACAGAGTTCAGACAAGATTTTGGAAAAATATAGCTGTTTAAAAACAATTCAACTGCAATTTTGAGGGGGGTTGTAGGCTGAGGTGTGACGTCATTTTAGGGAAGGGGGTCTGGCTTTTTGTGACGACGTGTGACGGAGGGGAGGGGGGGGGAGGTAAAAATCGTCAAAAAAAGCGTGACATCATTTATGGATGACCCCCTGTATAGTGATTTTTCTTTTTTTTTAATATAGTTGACATGAATGACTAATAGACCTTATCAGACTTAATAGTGTGCATCCAAGACCACAACAATTGTTGGGAGGTCGAACTTTTGAACACTTTATTTGCAGTAAGCAAATCAATATTAGATCGCTCATAAATGACGTCGCTCTTAAGATAGTAATGACAGCGTGCATTATTACATAGCAAACATGAACATATTGTTTCAGATAGAAATTGTGATTTGTGGTGGGGAGAAGTTGAGTAGAACTCAGCGATGTGATTTTGGAGCCGGGTCAGGGTTTTATTTCTCGTGAAAACTGGATGGTTGTGGGAGAAAGACCAGATGTAGAAGTATGACGCGTCATTCATTGGTGATCCATTTTCTCAGTGGGGACGAAAGAACTATTAAGAAGGGTCAAGAAATGACCCCACCTTTTTCATTCCCCCACTTAGCAGATCGTCACCGAGTTAACGCTCGCACGTGACGTCATGTAGCGGTACCGCCGACCGTTAGGCTAATTTTATAGAAAAAAAAAACAACAACCACTGCCTTTTTGACGCTTTTGCAACGTTCATTATGATTACATAAGTTGGTGTTCATTAAACAGCCCCTAACACATCTATCACTCGTCCATTTAAACGTACGTAGTTATTTCTGCAAGCTTGCTGTCTTGAGACTTTCGGCCCTTTAAAAATGTATTAAGCTCACACCGTATAGAACTAGACTACCCATATTAAGCTCCAAAAGAAGCTTGGTGAAAACAGGATGGCCGCCCGATTTTGTAGCTGCTCTGCGCTTTATAAAAACCACAATAAACGATAAGATGACACTTATATTAAAGTAAATTATAGTTCTGAATCTTGATACATTAAAAGTGATATTCGGAAATTAAGAGCCAGACAGTCAACATGATATTTCAATTTAAGTCCAAGAAAATAAATTTCCTCAAACGATGGAACATTACTAAATTTTCGCGCAGTTTAGCGAAATTGAATTTAAGTATTTACGTCATCTTACAAAGCGCGATAGCCTACTGGTGCTCTAACACGGCCCATGCTAATGGCCATATTCCTAACACCCCCGCATTAGACGCGGCTTATTCGTCGGCAGGCATTTGGTGGCAAGCCTTTTTGACGGGGATAATGTGTTGAGGCCATTTTGCCAAATGTCTTAAACTAGCAGGCTTGCAACATTTGTGATGATTCGTTTTAAGCAAGGTATACGTATACTAATGCTTATTTATCGTTATTTTGATTGAACAAAGCATTATAGAGGTTCTCCATCAACCACCTAGGTATTTTTCCCCGTTCACCTCCTTTCATGAGACCGACACGTCATAAATTGCAAAGCCGCCTGAGTTGACGTCACAAATCTTCACTCACTCCCGAAGCAAATCATATGTGACATCATTTATGGACAACCCCATATCACTCACTTGTGTACTTGATATTGACAATTTGACAACAAAGGATAACCAACATGTGTCTGGCAGGTGGAGACTTGCGATCGACCATAATGACAACACGCACTTAAGGGGTGGACTGGCTCATTGTTTTAGATGATGTTTTACGAGGGAAGCTGGTGGATAATACATTTTGTCTCTCTGTATATATAAATGATGACAAACATTTAATGTTGTCAAAATTATGGTTAGAGATCTTAGATAAGGCAGAGTGAAGCGTAATTTTTTACATTATGACTTGTGACATTGACAAAAAAAAATATGACGGAGTTTGGGGTTTAATTAAGGTAAAGAGAAGCAAAAAATTTCATAAGTTACGATAGAATCACTAATTGATGAAAAGAAAAACCTGAAATGAAAATAGTGAACATTCAAACAATAAGAAAAAAACTCAAACTATATAGTAATAGTAAGATCAAATTAACATTAGTAAAAAAAACGTGATTGAATACATGAATACAAGTTGCATCTCACAATGCTTCTAGAATTAATAAAGTTGTTTGTTAGGAAATTCAGTTTTTAAAGAGCAGAATTAAAAAAAAATGCTTTGTAATACGGACTATACAACAAGACAATCATATTTAAATACATTTTCATACGAATAGAAATAAAAGGGAAGCTACTCTAAACAACAATTTCTTAAGATGGCTGCTGTTTTTAATAGCAAATTTACTATCTCGAACAGGGTTGATAAAAATTAATTTCAGGATATTTAAATTGATTTAACCATAAATGGTGATCTATTATTCAATTATTTATAATATTTTATCAAAATATACGAAAATATACTCATATTTAATGACATATTCATTAATTCACTCTCTCCTACATTACTAGTTTTGGCCGAATTTACGACGCTAAACTAAGATTTTACCCTGTTACTGCTGTAGTTACCTATCTTAGTATCTAAATCTAGATTCTAGATCTATATCTTTTATCTAGAGTCACAGAATGATCTTTGGGTAATCTTTCGTTTTAGGTACGTAAAATCGCCCGCGGCTAATAATGTACGAAAAAGTTACCACATCAAATAATATCAAGTATCAAGGCTTTATAATAGATTATAGAAGTAGGCCTATAGGCTATTGTGATATATTTGTATTAAATATAGATAAATTAATAATAACCCTAAATCAATGGCTAAATAAATCAATATAGGCAAGAAATTAACTTAAAACAGCAGTGTTTGAGTTTGAGAGCAGGATTTGCTAAAAAGCGGCCATCTGTAAGTTAGAATGGCTTCCCCCTGAATCTCACGCTATAAGTTTACAATAAAAAAAAATAAACAAGGTGGCTGCTAAAGTAAATGAGCATGGTTTCATATGTTGGAAACATCGCTAGTATTCATTTATTACTGAAAAGATTTAATTGTTTATAAATGAAACAAGGAAACGTTTTTGTATTTTTCAAATCATAAATCCTCCTTAAAATGTGAAATAATTATTAAAATTTAAGGAATCACCTGTTTTTTACATTACTAGTCGCGGGCAATTTTACGTACCTAAAATGATAGATTACCGATCTTTGAATCAGTGTATCTACTCAGTACCGTAGGCCGTAGGACTACTCAAACAACTACCAAATGTGTAGTCTAGATCTAGACTAGAATCTAACAAATCTAGTATTGCACATACATGCACCACATAATCTAGATAATTGGCTTATCTTAAATATCATGACTGTAAGACTAGATCTAGCTAGCTAATGTAAGATAAACTAATCATGAAGTCTAACTCTAAAAGTCTAGTGTTTTATTCAGCAACAGGTAGATCTGATTTAGATCTAATATTCTAAAACTGGATTCTATTTCTAAATCTATGTAAATACTTTTTTTAGTTCTTGATCTAGAGTCTAGACTTACTACACTTAGTTTAGATTTAGATCTGTTAGTTGGAGAGTGTCTATTCGTACTTCTCTACTAATAGCCTTTTGATGGCTATTTGTAGTGAAGTACAAATAGCTACAGAGATTTTTAGTACACTGACCAATCAGATTAGCGGAAAGTATCTGTACACTGACCAATCAAAGTAGTGTAATCCTGCCCAGTTTAAGCTTTTCTACTCGTAATATTAGGCTAGAGCCACACACTCGACAAGAAAGCTTGTTACACGATGGACACCATGATTTTGAATCATTTTACCCAAAACAGCCGTTTTGACAGCTACAAAGAGTTGGAGGCTTTTATTGAAACTTTGAAAGAGTTTCAAAACTGTATTTTTATTTTACAAAGTTCAATAATAAAAGCTCAATTTCTAAGTATGTTTCTTGTTAATTGAATATGAATAGTAGCAAACAACTCAAACATATAATGATATATTTAACATAACAAAACAAAAAATTTATAATTTAACAGTAATCAGAACAAATAAAATGGTACTATATCTATCAGATGTAAGAGACAATCAACTTATCAGTTGGAACAACATGGCTACCTTGTACGTGTAGTAAATAATAGCTGCTTTATATAAAATGCCTTTGAAAATCAAGTGATATGGGTCAACATCTATTGTCTTGATACATGTTTTTACTACAAGCAACAAAAAAGACTGGACTACATAATTCAAAATAACTTGCTGATTAACAGCTTACAACATATTCAGTTACTAAACATCTATTTCTAAAACACCAAAGGATTGTCACATTCTGACAAAACACTTTTTCCATCCATGTTTACAATAATAATCTGGATGATTCTCATCAAACTCATTTGATTCAATTGTAATTTGTCCATTGTCTATAATGAATTATGGCCATTCAGCCCCAGTTTCACAGTGCACATTGATCTACCCCTATTCTGTCTTAGTTTTGATAACCTAGATCAAATTAGTACCGTAACTAAGATTTTCTTGTATATTTTGTCTAGTGGCAGGTGGTATCAGTTGTATACATTAACAAAAATTTCTTGTATCCAATGAAAGTCTCCCATCTACCTCCAACCTCAATAGCTTGAATTCTGCAAGTTTGAACTAACTCCGGACCATTAAATCTATTTGTGTCTACTTTAATTAACACACATAGTCATTAGATTTGAAAAATACATGCACAGTTGTGGCATCTTTTAACATTACAAAAAATTACATGTTGATATATTCAGAGTTAGTAGAATAAGCAAGGGGTTTGTCCATAAATGAGTCACATCTATGTTTGTGTGGGGTGTGTGTGTTGTCCCACTGGCATTTCAAATATTTATTTCAGTATTTGTAAATTAAAACATGATATTTTAATATTGATCAAGCTCCCAATTTATATTAAGTTATTATTATTTTGAAAAAGAACAATTGCAATTTTGGAAGGGGGGGGGTAGGCTGAAGTGACACCATTTAATGGGTTTGACTTTTTGGGAGGGAGGGGTACAAATTCAGCAAGCATATGCCTGGTTTAATGAGAGTAAAGGAAAATATCAAACATTTTAGTTGTTGTTAAACGGTTAACCTTTTCCAGATTGAAAAAACAATACTCCCTTTAAATAACTTGGAAACACCCTAAATTGTTTGGAAAATCTAGACAACTTTAAAGAATATCTATTTTTTTAAGATGGTCAGCTGGATCTGGTTTTAAGTAGGTTTACTTTTAAGCCTTGGATATTCTACCTGTCTGGTTAGTGGGGAACTCTGAATCAATACAAACTCAAATATCCACTAACTACCAACACCAAACCAATCATCTATCATTAGACAGCAAGAAAAATATTCAGCTTTGCTGACATTTATAAGAAGTTTAGCTTAATTAGTAAAATTGTCCAATTTAGGGTTAAAGTAGATCCATCATTTCTTTGTTTTAAAGTAGGCCTACACTTTCCGACATGATAATCCAAAAGTAGAGCTTCTTAACTTTGGCTTGTGACTAGTCACGCTTGTAAAGCTGAGGATTACTAACTTAAAAGAGTTAAGTTTTGGTCCCTGAATTTATCAAAAGTGATTATATAAATGGTATAATCTTGATTAGTATTTTTTTTTATAGCTGCTATTAAGGTAGATGTTTGTTTTAAAGTTGTTTTTTTTTTTTACTAGTATCACAACCCTAACCTTCTTGACAATGAACAGCTTTACAGAAAGAGCAGCAATTCCACTTAGTAACATTGTAAAGCTGTAAACTGTCAAATATTTTGCTACCATACTGTACTTACTTTACAAAATTTACTTACTTAACTATGTTATCAGTATACATTAATAAAATTAAATGCCATATTTTCAATCTTTCAGCTGAGCACTGTAGAGAGACAAGTGTTTGATTTCCTGGGATATATGTGGGCACCAATTATTGGAAACTTCTTTCAAATCATTGTTGTGATTCTGGGAATATTTGGAGCTTGCAATTTTTACAGATCATTTATTATTGTGGTATGTACTTGAGTAAAAAATGGAGTCAAATTAAACATGTTTCCCTGGGCTAATGAGGCTTTATAGCTGGGGACAGCCACTCATCTAGGAGAGACACTCCAAAATCAAACAACTGTTTTCTTGTTTGGACAAAGGCTATGGAAGCAAATCCAAAAAGAAAAGCAGGCTGAAATCTGAGTCAACGGCCTATATCACCATAACAAGTTGATATGTAATACTTAATTTTGATGGAGGGAATCTCTTGTAACACTAGAATTAAGAATGAAGAAGAAACATGTTTCTTTTATATGCTTAGTTCAAAAAGTCATCAGAAAGACTTTATGGTTCCTGTCATTTATGCTCATAGCTATAAGTAAATTTCCTTTCAGACTTAATAATAATGCAAGTGTGTAAAGTCCATGTTTCTTGACTTCTGCATATGAAGGGATGTTGTGATCAGCACTATGCCCAGCTGCCTTTAGTTTGCCTAACATGTGTCAGGTTCTCCTCATAACTGGGTGGACTCTGGGACGTCCTGCAGTCCCCAGACCGAGATCTAAAAATTGATATTTTTGTGCTAGCATTTGATCGCTCTGCCTCACGCTCACATCTACAGGGTGATTTTTATGGACACTAAGCTCCTGGTTGCGATTCCCCTTACCTCATGACCCCCGCGTCAAGGAGGTATTGTTTGACCTCTCAGCAGGTGCTTTCTTTCATGTTGGCCAGCTCTCCCGTTTGTAACTATCTAATTGTGTCCATTTTTGTTGGGAGCCATTTTTGGCCAGGTCTAAATTTCAGAGTTACTTGATTGTAGTACCAGTGAAGCTGATATATATTAAACTTGCTTTATCAGCAAGTGGTGGCCTGAGGCAGACTTATAATAAGAGAACACACAGAGTTGAATGCTATAAAAATAAGAATTAACAATGTAAAAGATCATTACTGCATTCTTTCAAAAAACATAATACTGCATTATGACACAGCTGTGAAATAATGAGTCACATGTTGATCTGTTGTATGCGTGCTAAAACTGTTACATCTGTAAGTAGTAATATTCTGTGTTTTGAAAATAGTTTTAAGTTGAATTGAGTGCTTTTTAAATTATTTAGGTAAATAAATTTTAATAACAGAAATAACAGTTTGATTAATGTGAGAATTTACCTAAATTTAATGGCTGACAATATCAAGCTAAGAGGTAGTGGTTTTTAAAATGTTGATTTTCTCAATTCATTTATGATAAACACCTTTGAAAACAATGCCCATTCTCTGCTAGAATGTATTTGTTTTTGTTACAGTTTATTAAGTTTTGAGCATGCTTTATCTTGAACAGTATCTTTTTGCAATTGAATAACAAGTTAAAATTAGTCCTTGACAAAATCTGTTAATCAATAATGTAGGTGTTGATACACCTGTTGTCACAGTAGGTGATCTGCTAAAGGTGATAAAAGATCAAGTGGCTCAACCATAGAGCTTGTATATATAGTGGGCATTTTGTTCCGCTCTAGTTGTGTTCTGTTGACTGGTTGCCTGGGCAAGTAAAGTGCCTGAATGTACTTGGTGCATGTTTTTTAAACAGCCTGCTGAGGAAAGTGGGTTACACACATGGCTGATCATGCTGAGATACGTTTGTTGCTTTTGGGGCTACGAATTATAACCTAATACAGACATTCTGCAAATAACTCAGTAACTTTAAGATAGTGCAAGTAAAATTAAACGGAAATTGTAAAAAAACGTGTATTTGCAAAAAACGTGTCTTGCAAATATTATTTTGCAAATGTTATGCTAATACCACTCCTGCTGCTAATCCTGTAATAAAACATCTGTTTAATCAGCAAAGTTAATTAATTATTAGCTAATTGCCAGCTGTAGTAGGTAGATGAAGCACATGTTTGAATATATAGGTGTATGTATATATATATATATATATATATATATATATATATATATATATATATATATATATATATATATATATATATATATATATATATATATATATATATATATATATATATATATATATATATATATATATATATATATATATATATATATATAATGTTATTACTCTTAGGACCATATTAATTTAACCTGTAAACTTTCCTCTTTTTAGTATGCTACTTGGAATTTATTGTGGCTTGGATGGAATATATTTGTCATCTGTTTGTATTTAGAAGTCGGAATATTGAACAGGGTAAGAATTCGACGCATACATTTAATTAGCTAAGTAGATGATGCATTTTCTTTATTGTTGGATGCCTTAATTTTTCTTAGTTTTGTGTGTAGTTATACATTTCTACTGTTTCTCTTTGAATAGAATCGGGAGAGATATATTTTAACCATCGGAACAGAAAGTAAAAGCTGGTGGCTGGAGCATGGGATAGGTTGTGAAGTGACCAACTCCAGCTGGGAGGAGAGTGATTATGAAGAGGAGGCTGGCCGTAAGATTCCCCCAGAGTCTTATGTTGTTGGCTGTATACTACAATATTACTATGTGGAAGTCATCCATGCAGCTGTTCAGTGTTTGTTATCAGTGAGTTCCCTTAACTAAATGTATTCTCCATCATTAAATAATAAAAAAATAAAGAATCATCTTTAGACCTAGCTATCCATTGGGCAGATGACGTAAAGCTCAAATGTTTCTTGACTTTGGTATATGAAGGGAAGGTGTGGTCAGCACTTAGCCCAGCCGCCTTTACTTTCCCTAACATGAGTTAGGTACTTATCAGAGCTGGGTGGACTTTGGGACGTTCTATTGACTTGGATCTGGATTTGAACTTGAGACTTTCGGGTTAGGCCAAGCTGTCCCATATCATTAATAATACATAGTGTTAATTCAACCAGTAGCTTTTTTGCTTATTTAGAATCTTCAAATATACTATCAAGTTTTCTGAGCTTTAAGCATATTACCATTTATTTAAACTAATGCATGTTAGTTAATTCAACTCATACTTGTTGTGATGCAAGGGGATTTTTATATACACTATATGTATGGAGATCTTTACTCTTCCGTTTAGAATCCTGTATAGATTCACCAGTCTGAAATATAGCAATACTGACACAATTCTATATTGGACGATATATTTATTATGTACACAAGTTCAAATATCCTACTCCTAGCCCTACTGTTATCCTTTCTATATCTTGACTCTATAGACCAACTTCTATCAACTGTAACTCCTCAACTATAACCTAACTAAGCTCTACTGTTTTGTATCACTTCACTTGCTCCTAGCTTGACTGGCCAAGTGGCTAGACATGTTACTTCCCATCTCACTTCTAAATCGTCAGCTATTCTATTGGATCTTATTCCTACCTCAACCATTTGACCATTGGGTAGCTGTTCTACAATTCTCCTTTCTTATTCCACATTTTTCCTATTTACTAAACTTGCGTCGTATTGGATATGCCTATCTAATATTACCAACTTGTATTTCTCCCCAGCTCCTGGGATTTGTAGCCTCATTTGTTTGTGTCTACATGTTCATAGAGGAGGATGACCCCAGTAAGTACTCAGATACATACTCCCACCTCCCACTTTACCCGCCTCCTTGGAGGTCGTACCACTCACTGCCGTACAACCTGGACACCTCTCTGGTGCTCACACCTCGTACGCGACGATTCAGGTCACACCAGCACCTGCCCTCACTGCCTGACGTCGCATTCCCCCATTCACCAATGCCTGAGAAACATTTCTGTTATTGTAGCCGAGGTCGTGTCCAGGGGATTTCCAGTTCTCCTGGTTGCGATTCCCCTTACCTCATGACCCCCGCGTCAAGGAGGTATCGTTTGACCTCTCAGCAGGTGCATTCTTTCATGTTGGCCAGCTCTCCCATTTGTAACTATTCTACCTACTTCTCATTTAATGTGGCAGCAAGCCAGCTTCAACAAGCCAATGAGTTGGATGAAATCTTTTACGAGGCTGTGGACCCTGAGGGGTGGGGCAGTGAATCTGATGATGATGTTTTTGTTATTCAGACTGAACTTTAAAACTATTCACACAAAAAATGCTAGCGACTATCACTTTTTGAGATCAAAACTTTTAAAAATTCAGATTAAAATTTTTTTAACATTTCTTTTGCGTACCTAATGAGCCAGCAAAGTCTGATCAGGCCATAGGCATCTTACTAAGGCAGAGTATAGCTTTTTATTCAGCATGCCAACATTTAAAAATTATCATAATAAAGTTCTACATTGGTTTTTTTCAAGAATTAAAATTAAAAAAAAAACAGTAATGAAAAGAATGAGGTTACTTATGATTTTTTACTTATGTGGTTATCCACTTTTTATGGCTGAACACAATGCATGATTTACTAACATTTTACGTAACCTTTTCCACATTGTCACTGTTACAATGTTATGTGGGCTACTTTTCTGTTTATTGTTTTTAAATTTTATATTACTACACTAGTTTTTTGTTTACACTATGCTAAAGAATCTATACACTTGAATTCTGTTTGATTGACCATAACGTTTTTATTTTTTATTATTAGTTCATTAGATTTGGAATGCATTTGAGTTTAAAATGTATAGTATAAGAAAAATGAAAGTAATATGATTGTTATTATTTAAAGAGGAATTGCTGTTGCTAGTAAAGCCATTTATTTTAACTTAGCAATTAAAACAAAACTACTTTATTTGACTATGAAATAATCATTTGAATTTTTGCTTTTCAGTGAGTTCAGCTAACGATGAGTTAGAGTTTGTTAAGATGCGCTACAGAACACCTACTCATATGTCAGCATTTCGTGATGACAATGAAAACATGGCGTTTGATAACATTAACCTGACAACAGAACTGTCACCACATTCCTCCCCTGGCCCCAGGCAGCGGGGGGAGAGGGAGATGCCCCCCAGCTACGACACCACAATGAGAAACGCCACAGCCGCCGCCAATAACTACTACGCCTCCGAGCGCCAGAGCGTGAGGAGCAAAGCCAGTACCAGGTCCAAGAGGTCGACACACCGCCAGACTAGCGGAGGTAACAGCGCCACCTACAGTGAGCCAGTCAGAGATCTCCCATGGGTACACATAACACCCATGTCAGATAATCAAATGATCCGCCATTTTCCATAATTAACAGCATTTTTCCTGAACAACTCTACACAGTGTGCCTGATTCTTTTGACTCTCTAGATAGATTTTTGTATTGTTTCCTTTGATCAAATCTGTAACAAATCTGTAATATTTTTCAAATGATCAAGGTATCATGTCAAAAGAATTTTTTCTTTTTTAAAAAAATTTTGACATATTTATTTTAATACAGATTTTTTTTCAGAATCTATGGTCTTGTTGGAATACTCACGTAAAACAGCAGAAATGTTTTTTTGTGTTCTTGAAACATGAATCTCCTTCACTATGCTAAATTTGTTTTCAGCTTGAATGTTTGTTTTCTGTAAAACACAAACAGTTGTTTCTTCGCTCAGGAGATTTTGTCTTCTAAAATGTCCATTTTTCATAACACAACTAAAAACAAAATGCATGCTAAATTAAGGATAGTGACAAATTATTTGTACTTAAATGTTGACTAATCAAAAGTGTTGTAACAAAGTGTGATATACAGCATTTTAAGGCCGTTTTCTTAAAGCTGGTAAAAAGCATTTAATTATACAATACGGCCAGTTTAAAAAAAATGCTTATCTTCGGAGTTTTATTTCAGCTAGACTTGAAAAGCTGATAAAAGGTGGATTTTCTAAGTTTCTTATTGACAGGCCCTAGCTGAAATCTTTAGGTGTGTACTGATCACATTCCTTTAGTAAGTAGAACAGTCTCTACATAGGTTCAAAAGTGTTTTTTTTTGTAGTACATTCCCATCTGGAGGTTGTGAAACAGCTTTATATTCTATATTTAATCTACACTACACCTATCATTCCATTTACAATGTATTACTTTGTTAAAACATGGGGAGGGGGTGGGGGGTGGAGACACAGATATCAGATGTATTAATTATTGGACCTGTTGTTTTAAAAGGTGCAATTAATTTTGTTTCTTTTTTATAACTTTTTTGATACTCTTGAGACCCTTTTGTTCTTATAATGTTGGTTGTAATGTATCTTTTTTTTAGTTTCACTTATAGCCATTGTAGTGATGTCATAATTTTGCCATGTATTAAAATAGTGTAAATTTAAAACCCAACAAATCCTAAAGCAAAACAAACTTTACAGTAAATAAAATAAAATCCTGTATGCATTTTCTATTTAAGTTAAATACTTTCTCAATCTATTAAATGTTAATCTTTTTTTTTGTTAGCTTTCCATGTCAACTTTATAAATTATATCTCCTTTTTGTTAAACAAGTTTTCTAGAATGTTTTTGTAAATAATGTTTGTGCTCAACCTTGAAGCCTTGTCTGTAATTTAAAAGCAAAAACACTTGTGATTTCTTTCAAAATGGTACATATCAATAATAATTTTAAACATATTTTCCAAAATCATGCAGCTTTTTAGTTATCTTTCAAGATTCCCAGAAAAAGTTCCCTTAGTTAAATAATGACACAACTGTATTAGATTTTTTTTGCTTCAGTTATTTGGGCCACTTAGTTGAGATAGTTAAGGTAGTAGGCTAACAATTTGGTCCAATCTTTGCAGAAAATTTGAAATCATGTTTACAATGCAAGAAATCTTGATGGCTTCATTTAGTTAAAAAACAACTTCCACTTGCTGGTTTGGAAAATAACTAAATCTGTGATTCATAAATTAGTTGTCTTATTGGTCATTTGTTTTGCTGCAAAGTTGCTTGTGCAGTGCTTGGATGAAGTACGGTTAAAAATATCCCTTACAAGGCTGTAAAATAGTTTGGGGTGCACTTATTAAATAAACTATAGATAGAAATTTATTTTAGAAAATGCAGTTTGCAAACAGGCAGTTTATGATGTTTAAAAAAAAAAATTGTACTTTACATAATAATAAAAGAACTGTATATGTTTAAATTAAAATCTTTATTTCTTTCTTTAAAAACTGTAAATGCTGAATGTGCGATAGTTTGGTACTGTTTATGTCAATAGCTAATCTGTCTTACAAAGACCATAAAAGGTTGTCGATGAACAACTCAGATGTTCATAATACATGACTACTGGGATAAATATGGTCTTTTCTGTTGAGTGTCAAGGGGTATGGTGGGAAAGGGTTAAAACAAAAACTACAACGTTTGAATTTTAAGTATGGTCACAAAATATTTACATTTTTAATACAACACCAAATACAGAAATATATATATATATATATATGCATGTATAAACGAATTCAATGTACAATTTTTAATTTACAAACTATATATTCATTTAAAAATAGTTTTATTTTTTTCAACGACAGGATTTACCCATTTCTAAATAAAACAAAGCTTTTACAAAACACAGTACTGGATGTACTAAAATAATAGTCACAGGAATTTTTTATGTAAAAAAAAAAGAACATCTTCCAGATAAGTCTTTTTCTTTTGAAAACACCAATAATAACTTGGTGTGAATCTCACAATAACAACAGAAATCAAACAAAATACAGACATTTGCTACCAGTGATTTTTTTTGCTCTGTGACAGTTTGTCAGAATTCCTAAGGTCATAGAACCTTTTAACGTGAACTTTATGTGGCTGAACAACAGGTGAAAGATTGTCTAATCTCAGGAGCCCGGCTTGACCTCCGGATATCATCCATAAACAGCTCCAGGCATTTGGATTCAAACGAATCTGGGGAAAAAATTTACATAAAAAATAAATCATACAACTGCTAACCCGAAAGTATTGAGTTTGAATCCAAATTAAAGTCTGTAGAATGTCACTGAGTACACCCAGCTCTGTTGGGTACCTGACTCATCAGGGTAGGCAAAGGCAGCTGGGCATAGCTGATCACATTTTCCCTTTATATTTTAAGGTCACTGAAATAGTTGAAGTACTACACCTGCCCCATGGATCGCCAGGGTTGAAAGGGTACTTTTATATTAGTTAAATGTCACATTCTTAGAACAAAAAATAGTCACAAAATGCAATTAGTTCGAGACTTTTCTTCTCTGCAATTAAACCTGTGTTGCTATCACTTCTGAAACAATTTTTTGAGGCTTATAACAGTTCATGTACTAGGCGAAATCACATGTAAAAATGTCCAAGTGTGCTTAACTTTATAAACAGAAATAGTATACGCTCTGCACAATTGTCTATGCACAAGGCTATTCAACGCTAGAGGTATATGATTTGTCCAGTCCACCCTTGTTGACATTTAATAAGTGTTACACCTGCATTTTAAATGAAAATTTAAATGAAAATGATTAACCACACAAACACCAATGTATGTTAATGGAGTGAGGAAATGTGATTGATAAGAAACTTGCCTTGTGCACGGCATTGGTATTGCTGCCTCCAAAATCTTCCAGTTCTGTTTTTCCCGAAGATTTTGCTACTTGGAGTGTCAGGTCATCTTTTGTCTGAAACAAAGTTACAACATTAGCGGCATGCTTTCATCAAATTAGAAACATTTACAAAAATATAAACTTTGGCTGCTGCATGTTATAATTTATAATGCTATTTTTAACAAATGATCATATTTCAACTCAGATTTTTAAATCAGCGGGTAAGCATTGTATTTAACAATAGCAGTTTTTACATATTTTTTAGTGTGCAAAGGTATGGTAAGAAGAATTTAAAAATAAGCGCTTTTAAAAGTTGTAAATATTGTTCATATAGAAAAATAAAAATCTTATTCATAGAAAAACAAGTAATTAAAAAAAGTCTAGTGACAATTTTAGCGCAATTTCCTTGTGTTATCTAAAAATAGCTCTGTTGTAGCGTAAAACCATTGGTTAGTAATTAAAACGTTTTTTATTAATTTTTTTTTCAGTATTTTACATGTTTTATTTACAATAGAGTAACATGACTAAAAACCATTGCGCGCCCAGCTACCGAACGTGACGTCGCAGCCATTGAACGTGATGGCGCAGCTATTGAACGTGATGACGCGTGTGGTGTGGTTGCATAAAATGCCTACTAATTCGGTCCAAATTTTAATTAATTCAAAAAATTTTTTGTGACCGAACGAAAGAATATTTTTGAAAACTTTCTTCATCAATATTGTTCTAAATTATGGCAGGAATTGATTGGTACATGTTTCAAGTCGCTAAGTGGTCTGGTTGCCGAGATATGGGCCAAAAACAGTGCTTTTTTCCGAGGTTTTTTGGCTTTTCCGGGAAATACATGAAAGAAACCCGTAATTTTTATGGCCTATGTTCATCCTCATAACTTGCTTAACATAATTGCTTTTGGAACTAGTCATCGATATTGCTTCGTTGAGGAGGAGATACGACTTAAAGCTGCGGACACACATACATCCATCCATCCATCCATACATCCAGAAATGACGGGTTAATAAACGCAATTCTCCAGAATGGAAATTGCGCTAAAAAATCAAGAGCAAGTGATTAAGAGTAATAAACTGGCTCATTTCATTTTATCAGTACCCAAATTCAACTATGTAAGAGTTTTAAAAGGATAATTAGGCAGGCATTATTAACAAAAACTCATAATTGGGAAATTATAATATTGTATCATTCCTTCAGTGTGTCATACCATTGGAGAATCTAGGTAATGTATAATTTCTTCAATGTTATAACTATGCAGGCACTATTAACTAAAACTTTTCATTGGGAAATTATAAAATTGTATCATTCCTTCAATGTGTCATACCATTGGAGAATCTAGAAAATGTATAATTAATGGGTCATGCCATGTAGAGAATCTAGGTAATGTATTATTTCTTTAATGTGTCATACCATTGGAGAATCTAGAAAATGTATTATTTCTTTAATATGTCATACCATTGGAGAATCCAGATAATGCACAATTTCTTCAGCGTTGAAATTTTGACATGCACCCAAAATGTCAAGGGTTGAGAAACATCTGCTGCTGCCTGTCACTTCTGACATTTGACCCCGGGAGAGTCCCAACAGATCCAGCTGGCTATCCACATCATTTTTTTTAATCAGCTTGGCCTGGTAAACATCCTGGGTGGATGAAATAAACTATAATTTAATTTTTACGCAACTGTATTCTATGGTCAGGTAGTTTCCCTTTGCTGTTCTGTTTGTAAAAAAAAATGACAATGAGATAAATATTCAGAAAGTCTTTATGCATCAACATTGTTTTATTTTAAAGCCCATATAAATTTTGTGAATGAGTTTATGTAAATTGTATTGCCATTAAAGATATTAATTAGTCCTATTTAATGCTACAAAGAAATAAGAATTTGAACGTTACTTGATACAACAAAAAATGTTCATGCCCCATTACAAATGAACGAAATTTTTGAAATTTTGTGTAGGTAGTAGTTGAGTTCTACAATCAGAAACAGCAGACATGAGAAGGTGTAGTAATACATTACAATTATAACTTTAAATAGCCAGTCTTCATTCATACAAACATAATACTTATGCAACAAAACCATTTCAACATTCAACCACAACACTTAACACATTTCTTTATGTTTGTGGTGAGAGTTTGTTTATGTTTTGTGTTAATGTTTGTGGTTAGGTTTAGAGTTAGGCTTAGGGTTATGTATTTTCTCAAATGACAATATTGGCATATAGACATTTTATTGGAAATTTAATATATTTCTCAAAAACCAGGAAGCACAAGTCATGGTCTTTTATAAATTAACAAAAGTTTCCACATATCAACATAGAGCAAGCACTTAAGCACACACATACCTCAACACAGGGAAAGCACCCACATACTAACAAAGGGCATGCACTAAAGAACCCACATACCAGTACAGAACAACTACTAAACTACTAACATAGGGTAAGTACTAAAGCACCCCCATACCAACACAGGACAATTACTAAAGCACTAACATATCAACATAGGACAAACAATAAAACACCCACATACCAACATAGGGCAAGCAATAACACACCCACATACCAAACTATGGATAAAACACCCACATACCAACATATGGATGAAACACCCACATACCAACATATGGATAAAACACTCACATACCAACATACGGCAAGTACTAAAACACCCACATACCAACATAGGGCACGCACTCTTGTACCAGATCCCATGGTTCTTCACAGCCTTTGTTCTGACGTCCATCATGGGAGGGAGGGTCAGTCTAGCCTTACCAATGGCATCACATGAGACTAGGACCTCATAGAATGGACAGTAGCTCACGTCCTGCAAGAGAATGGCAAGATGTAACAGCTGCTAACAGAAGGATGGTCTAGTCACCCGGTTTGTATAGGTCATATAGTTTTAGGTAAGTCACCTACTTAGCTTAAAGTCAAGAAATTATTGGAACTACTCAAGCAGTTCTTGACATAAGACACTGAGTTGTTTCAAGTTGAAGTTTGCAAACCTAAGAAAGTTGTGGCCATAGCAATCTTCAATCTTGAGTATGATTACTAATAATATTTTGATTTGTTACAAAGTCAGCATTACTAAATATGTATTGATTAATCTACTGTTTGTCTCAATCACAATGTTAATCTAATATCCCAAGCCTGTCTAAAATCCTAAACCAAGCAAGACAAGAAAAGTTAAAACAAACAGCTAGGCATTTACCCATATACATGCTGCATGGTTCTGTACTGCCAGTCCAGTTCCCATATTTTTTGTGCCATTTCTGGACAGGCCATGGAAGGTCACAGGGCATTTATCAGTCCTATAAAAAAAAACAATTGGCCTGAATTCAAAGGATTTACTAATTATGTTCAACATTTGTTTATAAATAATAAATGAATATATGTTATGTTTTCTGTTGATAAGTGAAGTAAAGCATTAGGTAATAACTACTTAAGCTTATTTCTTTCATAAAAAATAAGTCAATGTATGCTAACATGTTTGATAAATTAAAAGTAATATTAAGCTTACATTTGATAAACAATGTTATTTAATCATAGTATGTTTTATAAATACTTAACTAAGCTAATGAATGCATAAATGTTTATATGCAAGACGCATAACAAGTCAATGCTCACAAAAATAATTTACTGATTACACAGCACATATGTATATGATAGCTTACATATTAAATTTCTCTGCTGAAGAGAAAAAACCAAGTTGCATTGGGCCAGCCCAGCACAGAGATCTGTGAACAAACAACTGGAAAGACTGCCTCATGGTACCTGCGGGAGAGAAATTTTATTTGGGTTAACAACTGACCCATCCAGGGACGGACAATGTAATGTTAGGACTTCCTACTGTCAACATGGTTCTGAAAAATGGGTCTTCGACAAATTCCCGAAAGACACTTGCCCGAATGCCGATTTTGCCAGAATGGACACTTGCCCAAATGCGACAAATACCCGAACGCTACTTGCCCGAAAAATGTTAACATTTATATATTACCAAATAATCATCAAGTGTCTTTCGGGAAAACGTCCGGCTCCCCTGAAAAATAGCCTGTACATCACAAAGAAAACAGAACCTGTCCACTTAAAAAATAAAAATTCCTTGTCTTTTATTAGATACACTTTTATAAATGCTTAATTAAATGCCAATGTCTACTTACTTAACTGCCCCTGCCAATATGAAATACTTGACCTCCCCATATTTAAGAAATCTCATATTCATCTAACCTGTCCCTATATGAGATAACCTTATATTTGGATATAAAACATTACCTGCCCCAGCCAATTGACTTATCTCCCTTGCCTAAAAAAAACCGCTCATCCCCCACCCATCACACAAGCAGCACAGAGTACCAGCAGTACTCACCAACTGGCATGTATGTCATGTTGGTATCCCACTGACAGAAGCTGCCGTCAAATGAAGATGTGGCAAACGATGAGGGTACCTGTGGGTTCCATGTACAGGACAAGATACCCTCTGTGTTAAACTTGAAACACTGGAGAGGTCGAAGTGTGGTGTCATTGACCCTTAACAAGGGAGACTTGGATACCAGATCCCAGACAAAAATGTTACCTAGGGATTCATTGCATGAAGTAATCAAGGCTAATTAGTTAAATCAAAAGCAATTTAATTAAAAGCATGAAGCTAACTAAACTAGTACACGCATGCCCATTATGTAAACTAATAAACTAGCCTTCTCTATATTAAATAATACACCTTAATGATTAAAATTACCTGTTAAACTTACCCTCACTATATTAATTAATTAAAAAATTCTTTTACTTTTTAAAAAATATAATTGACTTTACTATATCATTTATGGGACAGAGTGGCCTAGCTGTAAAATGATAGTCTGCAAGCCTGAAAGTCTCAAGTTCAAATCAGTTGAACATCCCTAGTCCACCCAGCTCTGATGGGTAAGTTCTATTAGGAAAAGTAAAGACGGCTGGGCATAGTGTTGACCCCACCATCCCTTCATGTGCAGAGGTCAAGAAGTATGAACTCTATTTCATCTGCACAGTGGATTGCTAGGTCTAAAGCGGAATCTTTACTTTTTACTACACCAATTACTTAACCTATGAAAATAAAAAAGCGCATTCTCATTGTTTTAGCTAAAAACCTATACATCAGATAATTAGACCACATAAAAACAAACCTACCCCGACCATACCCAGCAACAATCTGCTCATGGTTACCTCCCTGCTGCCATGCTGTACACAAACAAGGGCCACAACCTAATATAGAAAATAAAATAGACTATAATACTATTTTCTCAGATGAAAATATACTTATAGTGATATATGTTTTTTAAATTATACTTTAACCTAGTCTCAGGATAAGGAATAAATAAAATCACTAATGTAACTGTTTTTCCACTTAAAATAAAGAACAAAATTACATTTTATATAAACCAAATAAATGTCACAATAATTTAAAAAATAATAATAATGTTTAAAATAAATATTTTGATGAAGTTCTATGAAATAATCTTGTTGAAGACCAGTACCTCTAATATATGTAAAAATGAGTAAAAAAATATGTTGCACTGAATACTACTACACTTCTCACCTGTTTGAGAGTTTGGAACTAAGGTCACAGCTGGACTTGGATAATATATGGAAATATCTTTGGAATGTTGGGCTTCCAGTGTATTAGGTTGGGGAAGACTAAATAACAAAAACAAGTTAATAAAAAGTCTAGTGACAATTTAAGCGCAACTTCCTTAATTAATTTTTTGTGACCGAACGAAAGGATATTTTTGAAAACTTTCTTCGGCAATATTTTTCTAAATTATGGCAGGAATCGATTGGTAAATGTTTCAAGTTTCATATTTGTTTTTGGAACTAGTCCTCGATATTGCTTCAATGAGGAGGAGATACGACTTAAAGCTGCGGACACACATCCATCCATTGCGGACACACATCCATCCAGAAATGACGAGTTAATAATCGCAATTCCTGTACGGAAATTGCGCTAAAAATAATATTACATTTGCAAATAGACTCTTTGCAATCCAGTTTAACAGTGAAACATACATGCAAGCTGTAAACACAGGTTGTATCCTGGTGTATAGTAATATATTGCAGGGAAAGAACCAAATTGCAGTGGCATTTTCTTGCAGGTGACCTATGCTACCATCATAAGTTTAAAAAAAAAGGGAGACCCATCATTACAAAAAGTAGTCCCTTTTGGACCTAAAGATCTGTTGGGCTCATCGGTTTCTCGATCAAAGCTTTTGAAAGGATGGTGGGGTCAGCACTATGTCCACCTGCCTTACTTTACCATACATCCTCCAGTCAGTTAATTCCCAATACAGGGAGACAATACCCCAAATTTCATAAAGACATTAGTCAAGAGTTACCTATAGACTAGAACACACATTAGTCAAGAGTTACCTATAGACTAGAACACACATTAGTCAGGAGTTACCTATAGACTAGAACACACATTAGTCAGGAGTTACCTATAGACTAGAACACACATTAGTCAGGAGTTACCTATAGACTAGAACACACATTAGTCAGGAGTTACCTATAGACTAGAACACTACCATCAGAACAGGCCACTGCCAGCAGCCCCAGCCTGCGTAGACTACCATCCTCATGTTCTTCCTGTAATAGTTATTTTAATGGATTTTATGTTAAAAGTCATAATAAACAATTATTTGAACATTTTATTTTTAAACTAGAAAGAAAATATGCTTTTGTTATATTGATCTTTTTAAAAAAAAAACTTTTTCTATCACAAAAAAAATTACCTCATCATAACAACGCCCTGGACACCAAGACATGCTAACACAGTAGCCAGATTCATGAGCTATACAATATTTTATGGACAAATCACCAGTACAGTCTCTGTGGAATAAAGATATAATGATGGTCACTCAGTATAAAAAAAAAAATTCTGATAAAATTAATTTTCTTTAAAAAAAGTTGGTAAGATAAAATGTCAATTTTAGGCTGGTTGATAAACTAAGTAACTGCCAACATTTGTAAGTGCTTAATTATATGTTGACATGGTAAACTTTTAAGTGCTTTAAATATTGTGTGACTTTTTAAAATTTAACTTAAAAGGGAAGGTGTAGTTTTTTTTTTAATAAACAACATACTTTTCATTTTTTAACACCCCAGCTGACCAGATTTGTACAATGCCTCGTCCACTGGAAGTATTGGTTGTGCTGGGCAGTTTCTCGTCAGCAGTTAAGTCTAAAGCTACAGCAAAAAACTGCTCAGATTCCACGCCCTCTGGCAAGGGACACCACTCTAATGCCCAAACTGGACCACCAGTGTAACAATAAGGTTTGCCTGAAGTACAAAAAGAAGCGATATAATTAAATTAAAGGCTCTATCACAAGGTGTATGACTTGTCTTAACATATAGATATTACAGTTATGGGCATATAACAGTGAGTATTTCTAGAATGTACACAAATTATGAGATCAATCTTAAACTGTAAAAACTTAATACAGCAGGGGTATTTAACTTTAGACAATTAACATTAGCAACAAAATTATTTTTAAAAATCTCACCATTTCTGATTACTGATTGGCCCCAATTTAATGACATCTCTTCCTGACTGTGGTCAGTAGTATGACCTAACAGCCCACATGTAAATTTGACTGAATGCTGACGAAGTGGTAAATACTTTTCTCTTTCACTGTACCAAAACATGACAGAATCAACAAAAAAATAAACAAAAGCTATTCAATTTGCCGTAACTGCTAACAGAAATGTTAAGAATTTTTTTTTTATCCACAGGTTGGATGAGGTCTATCCTTAAAGCAATAACCCAATATTATACTCGTTTACTGGCTTAAATCTTTTGGATGTCAATGAGCACACACAGATCTGCTGAGTACCTAACTTTTTGTGGCTAGGTAAGATACTAACCAAGGGCACAAGAAAAAAATAAACTCTACTTTTTCTAATGCATAGGCAATCAGATGTTAAAGGTACTTTTTAAATGCTAGTTAAGTATTTTATTGTTGTTGTTAACTCTTATACAGCTAGGTCTGCAGTTTACTATAGTATTGTCTATTCGTATTGTTACAGTATCTCATCTTTGTAAACTGCAACAGTACACATTACCTAGTTGCTAACTTTGTATTGTTGCAGAATCACCTATTTGCCAATTCTGTAATAGTACATTATTGCCTAGTTGCTACCTCTGAATGGTACAGAATTTGCAAATGAAGTCCACTGTATTAGTCAAGTATTTATACATATCTATGGCTTAGTATCATGTGCAGTACACTATTCACTAGTTGCTAACTTTGTATTGTTGCAGTATTGCCTATTTGCTAACTCTGTAATAGTACATAATTGTCTAGTTGCTATTACTGTATAGGTCAAGAATTTATAAGTATCTACGTCCGTATTAGTGAATGAATCACTGACCTGCCATCTAAAGGTGACCAGTTGCTGGGGTGGGGTTGGAGATCTGTGAATATTGGATCCTTTGGTATACTGTCATAAAATTTGTGTAGAATCTCCAACCTCTGAGACTGTGTCATGTTGGCGTCTAAAAAACAAATGCTGCTCCATTTTTTCTCTGCGCTTGAGGCTGAGAAAGAAAAGAGATTTGAAGAGAGTTCTTAATAGATGGATGAATATTTGAGGATGGAAAAATAAAATATCTGCATGCTGAAAAATGAAAAAATTTCTAGATGGTTGAATGGAAATAAATATTATAGACTGATAAATAGAATATTTGCATGTTGATGGATGAATATTTGCATGTTAATGAATGAATATTTGCATGTTGATGAATGAATTTTAGCAAGTTGATGAACAAATATTTGTATGTTGAAGAATAAATATGTTTGTTGATGGATAGATTTGCAAATGAAAGAATACAATTTTTGTGGATAAAAAATATTTGTGATGGACTGATGATATAAGGATCACAATATTAGATCGTTGGATAAAAATTTACCTGATGGGTGGTTGGGGGAAAATATTTTTTAATGAACTTATTGATAGTTGTATGTATGAAAATGTGTTATTACACAAGATAAAGTGTAAAGTATGAGTTACCAAGACTTCTTGTGGGTAAAGTATGAGTTACCAAGACTTACAGTCAATAATGTGCCTTCCTTCACTGAAGTAACTTCTCTTTGGTCGCTCCTCAATGTCCACGTCATCCATCTCACACTCATCATCTTCAATATCTGAACCACTCTCCTCATCCGACCCCTCCCTCTCCTCTTCCACGTGCTCATCAGAGATGTTCTCAACGTCCTCCCCATCCATGGTAAAACTGTTGATTAATTTGATTGCACTGAAAGAAAAAATAATTAAAAAATTATTTACAATATCAAAGTATGTAGATGTAAGTTTACACAAGAAGATAATGTTAAACTAGTAGGTTTTTTTACATAAAAAAATTGTAAGTAGGCCTACTTATGTTTGTTTTTTAACTGAAAATTTAAATTGCATTTATCCCCAAGAAGATAAGGTAAATGAGACTGGTAGAAAATGAGGTTAAACCTAAACAATGTTTAAACATAATGTAAATAAGACAGGTAGAAGATTGGGTCAAAACAAAAAAATATAAATGAGACTGGTCAAGTGGTAGAGTTTGATAAAATAAGTTATCATTAATCCGTGGGATGCCCCATGCTTTATCCAGTGGTCAAGAATAACACTGACTCTAACAGCTAAGATAACCTAATTCAGACCAATTTGATTAAATTTGTATTCAAATCTTAAGTTAACTTTGATTCCTAGGTCAGCCAACTCTGACCATTAAGTCAATTAGCTGTGTCCACTAAAAAAAGCATATATATAAATAAAAAACTCAACCTTTTTGCAGCCTGTCGCTTCCTTCTTTTCCCCACTTCCTGCACACCATCGTCTTCTACTTCAACATCTTTCTTCCTCTTTTCCTCCAAGGCCAGCTGATCTGCCTTGTTTTTATGTGCATTCATGTGCTGGTGCAGCCACATTGCTCGTACAGTATGTTTACAAATTTCACATGTGGCTAGCTCTTCCTGGATTTGCATAACAAAGACGGAGAATTTTAAAATTACAAGATATTAAAACTTGGTGAACACCATTACAGAAAGTTTATGTTAGGGTCACATACTACTATCAAACAGGGGAGATAATCAATAAATTCAAACTGTACAAGGGGAAACAATCAATAAATATAAAGCACAACACAACAATATTCTGAATTGGTGATAGTAGAAACAAGAACTATCTTCAAGCTGTGCAGGTCAATGACACACTACAGAACAATTCAAGCCTCTGCATATTTCACAGAAAGAGCACCCAATAAAAAAAAAGTTCTGAATTTTTTCACAAAAAATCTTTCTACCTTGATTTTTTCTTAAAATTATAAATTTTTTTTTTATTTTCCAGAAATTATAAACACATAATTAAATGCTTTGTATGGATCTATGTCAACTCAGGTCTAACATCTAACAAAAATAAGGTTTGATAACTGTGCAGTGAAAGTTATTACCTCCCTTCCACACCAGATCTGATGATGCTTGTAGTAGTGAGCAAATCGAAACTGTTTCTGGCACTGCTGACAGTCCACATGGCCCAGTGCTTTGATGATAAGACCTGGTGCTTCCTCTCCCAGAGGGTTACTTTTTGACCACTATAAACAAGCGGTAAAACTGATTTTAAGTAAAATATATTTTAAAATTTAATTTTTTTTTTACTTCAAGGAAATAATTGGTAAAATAGATTTTACTAAGAAATAATTTTTTTTAAAAATATGAACATTTTGTCCTAAAAGTTAATTGAAGTTTAATTTGGTATAAGGATCTGAAAATATCTGCTTTAAGTAAAAAAAATGTAATTATTTGAACCAAATTGATACTTTCTTAAAATATAAAACAAATATAAAATAAAAGATAACTTATTTCAAAACTTTGATGTATTTTATGTATTTTAAGTTAATTATCTGCCTTGGCATACATATAAAGGATGCTAAGTTTAAGATGGCATGTGATAAAAATAATCATGGGTAGTTTTTAGTTTAAGTCAAAGAATATAAAGTATCCTGTTTTATAATTACTTAAACTTGTTTATTAAAGAAATGATAAAGTGAAAACAAAAATAACAAGATATTCTTACCACCACAGAATGTTTTGACATCATATGCCTTTGTAGAGATTCTATAGAAAGCATCTCTTCATCACAATGTTTACACTTCAGATCTGAACTTTTTAATCCTTTTAACTTAGCAGAAGATTTGGCTCCCTTACAGAAAAAGAAAACTATGATTTAACAAAACAATATACACATATTTAAAATAAAAATAATATAATATGTGATACTACTAACATTTTAGTTTAAAAGAAAAGTAAAATTTTTACTTTAAAAAAAATAAAATAAAATGCTATTTTTGTTTAATTATTTGTCTAATATCTTTAGTTTTATTTAAAGAAAACAGAATACTGTTCAATTTTAATGCATTTAATATTTTTATTGACATAAACAAAAAAGACTCGGGACATTATTTTATGCCGGTAACAACTTGTCTTGAGAATTAATACTAATGCAGGCCTACTGCCAATTAAACCTGGTCCACTTATTATTTATAAATTAATCATTCCATGTTAATTAAGACAGTGTGGAGCAACATTTTTTTACACATACTCACCATTCCTAGTCTGTTTAAATTGAAGCATAATATATAATAGGGTTAGATGGTAGAGTTTATGACTGCTACCTGAAAGTCTAGAATTCGGATCTTAGTTCAGATTCATGACTGTAGGGTGTCCCTGAGTCCACCCAGCTCTGATGGGTACCCAACTGACATTAAGGAAACCAATGTGGCCGGGCAGAGTGCTGTCCACACAATCCCCTGTATAGTGAGATCTTTAAAACAGATGAACTCTACTTCATCTGCCCCATGTCTCTTGGACAAGAACAAGGAATAAATTATGAAATAAAATAATAATACTGGAGTATTCTAATTATATATTCAGTGTTGTTTCTAGCTAGTAGGCCTTAAAGCTTATTTATAGTAATTATAAAAAAAAAAAAGCTGAATATTTTAAATCTCACCCTTGTAGAGGTAGCCGATGATTTTGGTGTTTTTGGCGTGGACTTTCCTTTGGTTCTTTTGTTTGTAACAGGCTCCTCAGCTTCCTCTAGATTCTGATCTAGGTCAGCCTCAGACTGAAAGGAATGGTCTGGCTGTGACAGATCCCTGTTTCTTAGCACAGCATGTGCCTGACCTTTCTTAGCCTTAAGTCTGCTGCGGGATCTTTTAGGGGTTGCAGCCGTGTCTGCCTCTTTACTATTATCTGTGTCCTTATCTACTTCCAGGTTATCAGGAGTATTGATGACATTGTCTGAATTACAAAAGCTGTCTACTGGATTCTTGACACTGCCACCACTTCTTGTCTGTTTTTGATTGTCTGTCTTACCCAAAACTTGCTTCTGTCTTCCCACTCCCAGTAAAGTTTTTTTAGCATTAGGTTTTAAATTTCTCGAAGCTTTTGGTTTCAATAAGGAATTACTTGATTCACTATACTTTTCAGAATCATTGTTCGTAAATAAACTATTGCTATCATTTTTATATGAACGGGTGATTATGTCATCTTCACTGTCTATAGGGTCATTGTCCCCAAACTCTGTGTAACTAAGACTTTTTCTTGTCCGACTACTTTTGCGGACACTACCCATTTTACTTCTTTGACGCAGTGTAACTTCCTGCTCTTTATATGAATTTACACGGCCTTCAAACTCATCATCGTCATCATCAGCTGCGCCGTTTAATAACTCTTCAGTCTGTACATCTCTCCTTGGCCAACCCCGCGGCTTAGATTGTTTTCTAGACCTCCTCTCTGTTTTAGCATCAGCTGCCATTGTGTTTGATATAATGCTTCTACGCTTTTCTGGACCATCAGGTTTTGAAATATTTGTTGGTCCTACAGGAAAATTTTTCCAAACAACTTATCTCTTTATCACTGCCGTTGCTGATATGATACACATCTGAATCATTCAATAATTAAGTGAGCTATCCCCAAGACTGGATATAATAACTCACAGTTACACAAGTAATTCATGGGACCAATGCCATTTTTCTCACTAATGTAGTGAGATAATAGGTTAACTATGTGTAAAAAAAAAAATTCCAATTGGAAGAATTCAACAGTGTTGTGGCTTAAATAAAATCAAGTAACAGTTTGCTCATAACTCTTTTGAATCCAGATATGCATCACACTGGAAAAGACTAGAAATATAACAATGCACTTGATTGTGTAGCTCTTCTTATTGTAAAAAATAACAATTCATTCTTGACTCTGAAATTAAATAAAAATATAAACAATATTCCATAACTGAATTAATTTAATTTAAAGTAATGTAGTAGCCATATAATATGATAACACATACTTCATACAAATAATCTTACCTGTTAAAATTTAAAAACCATTTTGAATTACTTTAACTAGTACCAGCAACAGAAATGTGTTTCCTCATTCTTATGTGGCTTCCCTAAACAGATGAATGAAATCAAACAAATGCAATGTAAATTTTCAATTAAAAAAAAAAACATTATTAGTAGGCCTACTTACAATTTTTAAAATAAATAGGCCTACCAGTTAAAGCATGAAAGTATGATTTTTATAGAGCAATACTAAGTTTAAAACTGCAACAATGGGGAATCAACTGGGAGATAGGGGTCAGCGTGGTCGAGTCGGTAAAGCTCATGGTTGCTAAACCGAAAAGTCTCGAGTTCGAACCCTCGGCAGATGAGGCTCGTTAGCTGGGGACAGCCACTCTTCTAGGAGAGACAACTCCAAAATTAAAACAACTGCTGCCTTGTAGTTTGTTCTTGGTTGGACAAAGGCTATGGAAGCAAATCCAAAAAGAAAAGCAGGCTGAAATCGGAGTCAATGGCCTCAATGGCGCATAACCAGTTGACACGTAACGCTTAATTGTGTTGGAGGCGTGGTCGAGTCGGCAAAAAAGCACATGGTTGATAAATTCGAACAAAGTCTCGAGTCCAAACACTGGCAGGTAAATCTCAATCCCATTCAACACTAATAATTAAGAACGAAGAAGAAGAAGAAGAACTGGGAGATATGCACAACTTTTAGCACTATCCATAAAGATTGTGTTGTAACTAGAATATTATTATGAATACTAATTTACAGCTTTTTAAAAAATTCTTTCTTTCTACAGCTTAGTCTAAAAATTTTTAACCCTGAAAAATAAACTTTAAAAAAAAAGATGAAAAAGAAATGTCAAACGAAATGCCCATGGTTGATTAGGTGAGATAGAGAAATGTAACATTACAAAATGTTTAGTAAATATGAAGTAACTAAAAGCGTACGAACAGCAATAATGTTTTCAAAAGTATACATATAGATCTAGGCAGATTAGAATGATTATTTAAATGCAATAGATTCTTGTAAGCCTAGAAGTGTAGGATTCATTGTAAGTGATTCTAGGCTAATACTATTAGGACCTAATAATGAGGTGTAATAAAAATGCCAGGGCTAAGGAAAATTTGGCTAGTGATCTGATATCAGGCTTAATTTTCAAGTTATAGTTTAAAAAACATGTTAGGGCAAACTACTAGTTACTAAACATTTACTTCTATCTAGGACCTATAATCTATTGGCCCCTATTTCTAATACTAATAGATTTTTTATAACTTGCAGGCTATATATAAAGGCCTTCTTTACTTAATAATTTTTTCAATTTAGTCTAATCTTGATCTAATATAGACTTAAAGGATTCTAATTCTCAAATTAGATTCATGTCTAGAAACCAGGTTCAACTAACTTAAAGTACTAAAGTATGCCCTAAAATCTCAACCCTTAAAATATTAGCGTAAATAAAATAGCTAGCCCAGTGAAACATATTAGTTTTAGCCAGTTTTAATATTTATTAAGGCCTAGATCTATGCCTATATAATATAATAATATAGCCTAAAGGCCTAGATCTATAAGTAGTTTAGTAGTAGTAGATCTAAAAAATATTAGTAATTCAAGTAGGCCTAATTGGCACTAATAGGCCTGATAAATGGGCCTAGTAACCAGAGTTTCTTTCAGGCATCTCTTCGGAGAAAGTCTACCCCCCCCCCCTGGAGAAAAAGTCTGGAAGAAACACTGCTAATAATTCATTACATTGTAGTAAATGTAGGCCTAATTGGCATTGGTTAACTTTATATTACAGATAGGACTTATTACTCTTTTTAGGCCTAACTAATTTATTAATTTAATTTTAATACTAAGGCTGGCTAAGCCTAAAAATTTCAATAATAAAAATAAATATTAAATAAATAATTTATATTAGGCCTATAAGTACTAGATCTATAGGCCTAATAATAGATCTATATAATATAAATTTATAAAAAAATAATATAGATCTAGCCAGGGCATTCTAGGGCCTAGCCTAATTAATAAATTATTAGGCCCTAATTATTAATAATTAGGGCCTAATAAACTAAGAAAAATAAACCATTCTAATAAAGCCCATCATCTTTAAAATTTGTAATTTTATTAAAATTGTAAGACAATTTTTAAAGACAGAAGAATGCAATTTTTAACATTTTTAAATTTTAGGCCTGCACGCAGGAGCTGCGAGTTCGAGGCACACTGAAGTCATGACTCACGGAAGAGTTTTTAAAAAATCACTCGTCTGCTTTACGTTTGAGCATTATGGCAATTTGTAAAAAAATAAATAAAAAAAAGAAACATATTGCAATGCGTGCATGGTTAGGTTTTTGATACAACATGAAACTCACAGTTTCAGTATTAAAACCGATAAAACATTAGGATTTGAAGATGATCATCATTATAGATTATAGAGTCTAGTGACACCAGGGTAATTCATTTTGTTTAAAAAAAAACCGTAGTTATTACCCCTTAGCCCTTGGCTTGGTGGCCAGATTTTGTATACATAAGTTGCTTAATAAGAATTTTACATATGAGAAAGATTTTTTTAAAAATGTAAACAAATAAAAAATTATTAATTTAAAGGAATGATGTCAATAAAAAAATCTATATCCATACTAAATATTAAATATGTTCAAAAGTTTTCAAAAAATAAAAACGTTACAACGGTAGCACACGTTAATTTCGTTAGCTTACGATAACAGTAGGGATAAAGAATCACATAAATAAAGAAATAAAACTAATCTAGTAAAAGAACTAACATTGTCAATTAATTATTAAAAGTTGAACATATAGGAATTATTGCATAAGTTTTTTTTAAATACAAAATATTACTCGTTAGGATCCTTTAAATAAATGAGAAAAGTTGTTCAAATTTGCCTCACGCCTGATTTAATTTATTTGTTAGCGAATAAAAATACGCACCATTCCATTAAATTCAAAGAAAAAAAATAGAAAATTGCGTGAGTAAATTAAAAATATAATTACATGCGCCATTAAAATTTGTAATGGTAGTCTATTTAAAAAAGGTGTTCGTTGAATTTGAAATTACTAAAATAAGGTATAATTATTAGATTTAGATCTCTGTTTTATCCCGTGAATTCAAGTTTTAATATTTCATGACGTCATAATCATTGTTAATGGGTTGTTTTAGGTATTCCCAGAAGGAAAGAAGACACTTAATTTTATGTCAAGAGTAGATTTTCTAGATCTAAAATCTAGAATTAGATTAGAATCTAGTCTAGATCTAGATAATCAATCCTTTTATCAGAGTTAGACATAATTATGATTTTTTAATATAGAGACTGAAAACCACCAAGAACACCACCATGTAGACTGGAAGTTTTTGTTGGATCTTCACGTACATTTCATTTTCTCGTAAGTAAAAAATGAATAATAAAAAATATTATTTTAGCCCCTTTAGGCCTAACTTTAAAATTTAACTAATAATAACTAATAACTAACAGTATAAAAATATAAGTTCCAACATCTAGATCAGTGGTTCTTAACCTGGGTTAGGTTAGTCTCAGGTGTTGGGTGTTTAGGCGGTAATCTATCGTTTTGGGTACGTAAAATCGCCCGCGGCTATTAATGTACGAAAACGTTACCTCATTGTCAAGGCTGTAATAGAAGTATATTGTGATATGTTTGTGTCAAATGTAATAGATAAATGAATAATAAACCTAAATCAATCGCTAAATATATCAATATAGGCCAGAAATTAACTTTAAACAGCAGTGTCTGCTAGCAAGATTTGCTATATAAACAGCAGCCATTTGTAAAATAGAGTGACTTCCGCCTGAATCTCGCGGTATAAGTCTATAGAGTCCTTGCAAACACGTGACCTAAATCACGTGATACCTACGCCCGCCGCCACAGTGGTGTACATCAGACGTAAACACAATCAGCTGTTCGCCAGCGCTGGACGTGTTCACCAGCGCTGGACGTGTTCACCGTATGTAAAGAATCGCACCCGCGGAAAAGGAAAAATATGTTAAAAAACTTGAACTCTTAGGAATTGAAGATCCTTATACAGTTATTGACAGTTTCGTGGATAATATAAATATGTGGCCGAAATTTCTAAATAAAAATACTGTTAGTAATACCGTTTGCGTTTAGAGTTTAAGTAGACGAAGCTGATCAAATGCAGTAATATATTATAGGTTATTTACTGTAGCAAACGTGAGACCACTTAACTCCTACAAAACCCACACTACAACGGCTAATATAATCCATGGGTAATAACCAATCTGGGTAGCATGTTATACAATTTAAGACCCTTATAATCCAGCAGGGAAGTAATCAGACACATTAATACTGACATTCAACCCTCATAATGGCTGCCCCCACCTGTATCTAGCCCACAATAAAACCTAAGAGGAGTCTGCCCTGCCCTCCCCTGAAAATGTCTCACCTCCGTGATACCCAGCCCCACAGAGATAGTATTTCTTATATAATTTTGACCCTCAGGGCCCAGCAGGGAGAACAAAGGGGAAAGTCCCACTGCTCTCCCCTCAACACTTCTCACCTCGGTGTCATGTTATGTCATTTATAGCACACATGGCTTATCAGGGGAAAGCATTAAGGCATTAAGAATCTTAACTCTGGACAGCTACACACTAGTATACTAGCTACACACTAGGTGCCTACTGTAAACTACTAGACTGTAGGCCCTATGTAGACCGGCAATTGTATCAATTGTAGACTGGGTCCATTGTTATTATTCTAAACCATCTCACTTATAATGTTTCTAGCTTGATTTGTTTCTTTTATAAACAGTGGATTTAAAAAAAAATTAGCCTAATCATTAACCAAATAATAATAATGTGGTTATTTGTTGTTGGCTGGTATGATCTAGATTGTACTACTAGGCTACAAAAACTTAGTAGACCAAATACTAGATATGAATTTGAATTTAATTTAACTCAGTCCAGTATCAGATTCATATTGCTGTAAAAAGACAACAAAGTAGGTAGGCCTTAGTAATTTATTAAAGCCTTCTACTACAATAATATCAACTACATACTTGTATAAAGTTTTTACAATTTAATTTAAGTAGCAGATTCTAGATCTAAGTCTAGTCATACAATCTATTTCAATTTCAGAAAATTTCGTTTACTAAAAAAATGATTAGATAATAGAGCGAGATTTTAGATCTTAGAGACAATTAAATGCTTTATTAGGCCTATTATGACTACTTTTGATTTATTATGGGTGTATTTTGAATCGAATGTAGATCTAAATCTAAAGTAATTAAATTTAAGTAAAGAAGTAGATTCTAGATTCTATGTCTACCCAGCGGAGCCAGGTATTAGGCCTACTATTAGATCTTATTATTCTTATTATTACTTTTGACTTTGTCTTTTACTATTAGTATTTGTGAAGGTCGAGCATATTTGTTTTATTAATAGTTATCTTTTATAATTAAAATGAAGTTTATTATTTTACTGTCCTTACCTGAAACGAAGTATCGAGAACTGCATTTGATCAGATTCGGCTACTTTAACTCTAAACGCAAACAGTATTACTAACAGTATTTTTATTTAGAAATTTTGTCCACATATTTATTTATACGAAACTGTCAATAACAGTATAAGGATCTTCAATTCCTAAGAGTTCAAGTTTTTTAACGTATTTTTCCTTTTCCGCGGGTGCGGTTCTTTACATACAGTGAACGCGTCCAGCGCTGGTGAACACGTCCAGCGCTGGCGAACAGCTGATTGTGTTTACGTCTGATGTACACCACTGTGGCGGCGGGCGTAGGTATCACGAACGGACGTGACGTCATATGAAAGGACTCTATAAAAATAAAACTTTAACAAGATGGCTGCTATAGTAAATGAGCATGGTTGCATTTGTTGGAAATATTGCTGGTGTTCATTTATTACTGAAAAGTTTTAATTCAATTGTTTAAAAACAGGTACATAAATAAAACAAGGAAACATTTTTGTAATTTTCAAAACATAAATCCTCCTCAAAATGTGAAATAATTATTAAAATGTAAGGAGTCACCTGTTTTTCACATTACTAGTCGCGGGCGATTTTACGTACCTAAAACGATAGATTACCGTTTAGGCTTAAGGGTCAAGACGAGCAAGACTCACCTGACTCATTTTTTCATTATTAAAATTATTTGCTATCAGATTTTGTCAATGTGCATGATAGAACAAACAGCTGATGACAGTTCAAATTTGGCAGGGGGGACAGCATTGATATAGTAATAATAAAGTGAGCTAGATTAAGATAACTCAGATCAGTATCGTGATATGTCTCTATCATGGATCCCCTGATGTCTCAAATCGTCAATACCACCTGTATATAAAGGGGCCTTTGATCAAGTTTATATATAGGTGCTGTGATGCACATACTTATTATTGCTATGTCATGGCCCAGCAGACGATTTGTGTCTGTCATGATGGTACGCTGTGTGATTTCTTTCCTAATATTTTAATCCTTTCATAAGATGTCGAGTAAAAAAAGAAAGTGGTCAGACGAATAAGTCCAATATGGATTCACATGTATAACAGAACTTGATGGGAGTTGGTGTCCTAACTGCATTATCTGCAATGCCGAGTTGAGCAATTCTAGTTAGCACAGGCAAAACTAAGAGATCACTTAGTTAAGATTCATAAAGATAGAAAATACAAGACTACAACTATGGCTGAATTCAATGTGAAGCAGCACATTTCTCTAGTGTCTAAAATGCAACAGCAGGAGTCACACTGATTTGCTGTAAATATTCATTATCTTGTTTTTGTTTGAAAATCATATTTTAATGGTTTTGTTCCTTTGAATACAGTGATGCTGGTGCACAGTTTATTTTGTGCACCAGTAAAATATATACTTACGTTTTGAATTTGAAAGAAAAATCTTATATTGTTTTCCTATAATTATGAAAGGTTTGGTGAATGCGCTTATGAAACTGGTGGGTTTCGGTACCTCCAAAAAGGTTAAGAACCACTGATCTAGATTACATTAGTGATTAGATCTAGTAAGATAAAGATTCTACCGTTCTACTCAATACTGACTAACTACACTTAGGGATTAGAATGGCTTACCTGCTTCTGGCTTAGTTAGGTCTTAGATTCATTTTAAAGAGAACCCCACAATAGGAACGCAGTGGCACATGACATTCCATGATTAAACCAAACCAGGGACTGTATCTGGCGCCCCTGTGGTAGTGTAACTAGTGATTCCTAAGAACATTCTGCAACTTTCGTGGCCTTGACAGCTGAATGGTTGTAAAGGTGTATTTTAGACTACTATTATGTGCTTAATGCACATTCAAAACTTTCATACAGCACACCCTGGTGCGTCTGGTTGGTAGAGTGGACAAACCCACACCCCAACAATTATGGTCCAAGAAATATTGTTCATGTTTTATTTACATTTTAACAACTCAGTTTTAGAAAGCAAGGTTACTCGACTAAAAATATATTATTGGTAACACTTTGATGAAATGCTCTTAAAATATCTTAGAAGCCTGCAGCAACACATGGGATTGGTACCCTAGTATTATATATAATATTTTAAAAGTGAGGTGGACAAAATAATGGCAGCTAACTATGTAGACTTTGAAAAACAATTAAGCTATATATCATTATCAATCACTCTGATTTAAGCTACTATTAAAACAGAATGCAATTTTTTTTCCAACGTGAACTTTAGCTGGTGGGGGCCTAAGTTATTCGATTGTTATTTAATTTTCACTAGACAATCTTCTGTATTAAAATAACCCTAACCCAGTCATAACAGTTACAGAGGTAATAAAAGTTTGGCTTTTTTAAAGGCTGAACTGTATTAGTTATAAGCCTAATTAAAATAAAAGTCTAGACACTAAATTTTACCATCCATTGTTGTAATATTTTTAAAAATCTCAAAATGACTAGATTTAGATGTCAGTTGTAGATTCTATATTTTAGTCTAGATTTAGTGGATTAATCGTACAGTATGTAAAAGTAATGTTCCTTCTCGAACTTGATGGACCATGGGGCAAGTGAAGTAGAGTTCACCCGTATCTGTGACCTTGGCATGTGAAGGGATAGTGTCTATGGGCGCTATGGATGGCTTTCCTTATCGTTAGTCAGGTTCCCATAAAAGTTGGGTGGACTCCAGGGACATTTGATGGACTTGGACCCAAACTCCAACTCAAGACTTTAGTCTTAGCAGTTGTAAGCTCTACTATTCGACCTTGCTGTCCCATCTTACAGTGAAGAAGTTTAGAAGATGCCTTAAAAAAACTCTGACCATAAATGATTGACCTTTGGAAAGTCTATAAAATATTGGCATGTCTGTTTTCTAGATTAGGTATTAGGCTGGCTCATTGCCAGATGGCAGATGAGCGCACTTGGCAAGACATTTATGACATTTTGTAATGGGAAACAGCAATAATTTGGGGATATCAGTTAAAACTGCTGTAATAGCATGAATAAAATAATGCAGCATCTGGTAATGGGCAAGGACTAGATTTAGAAAACATCAAATACACAAAAAATAATATAATTTGTCTTCATTTAGGATCATAATCTAAATGGATGAACTGTGTTTATATTATTAAGTACCTGACTGATACACTACCTAGCCAGTAGCCCAGTGTATAATAGATATCCTTACATTGTATTACAGATACGTTTTCTTTTTACACATGCATTATTTATAGATCTGGACTTTGTTTATATTAAGTACCTGACTGTTACACTACCTAGCCAGTAGCCCAGTGTATAATAGATATTCTTACATTGTATTACAGATACGTTTTCTTTTTACACATGCCTTATTTATAGATCTGGACTGGTCTTTATTTTAATACTTTGGCAAGTAATGCCACCCTATCTCTGACGGTAATGCTACTAGTACTACTGGGGACTACTACTGGCAATATTCTTGACTCCAACCCTGCACCTAACAGATTAGTCTTTGTGCAGAAAAAAACCTTGATATTGTACTACGTTGTCCAGCCTACTGTAAGGTATAGACAAGTGGTTGTGATTTTCTTAGAATCCTAATATAAAAGTAGATCAACTCTGCCGCGCAGCTGAACTCGTTCAAATCGGTGGTTGTGCCAGCAGTATTGCAGGTTTGTCCTGGTTAAAGAAGAACTCACGCGCATAATCCGCGCGTGCAAACAGGTGAGGGGATGTCCCATACAACCTTGGGCCAACTAGTCGCATTGTTTTTACACGGCATCGCAGACAGGTTAACTAACTCGTTCAGGCGCTTTTTATGACGTGCGTGCTTTTTTTGGGGGTCGAGCGCTACGTTGATCTTTTGGCTGAGTATTTTGGGAATACATTGACGCAACCTGTTGTACAGTGTTGTTGTACATGACGATAGCAATGGAGGTTGTTGGCTGTAGTGCTGTGCTTTTATTTGAACCAGATTTTGTACATGCGCTAGATGATTTTGGTTCTGATATTAGACGTATTCTCCATGTCCGTCGATAAAAAGGCGTCTCTGTTTATCTAGTCTTGAAAGTTAAGCTAGTGGGTGGCGGGTGTATCGGTGTTTGCTAAGTGGCTGTGGTTCTTAACATGGGTTCAATCGAACCCGAGGGGTTCGATGAGTCCGTCTCAGGGTTCTGCGAAGATCAAGACACACACCTGACTCAGGCGATTCACGATCGGGTTTTGTCAGTACGGACGATATAACTATTTAGAAGGGTTCAGTGAATGCGCATATGAAACTGGTGGGGTTCGCACCTCTAAAAAGGTTAAGAACCACTGCTGTATGGTAAGGTAAAATACTCGGTTAATGTCGATAGAAACATTTTTCCCACGGAACATGTAGATCTATACTTACTTGCTGGGAGTTTTTCCCCCCTAGACGTGTATAGTTTACATGTCGCACGTGTAAACACGGTGTTAGACCTGAAGGTCCACAGGGCATGTAGAGTTCATCAGTTGCCATGGCAGCGGTTCATAATAGTATCATGGGGCCCGTTACCTACTCAAGACAAGTACCCTTGTATGTTGGTGGGCGTTACATTGACTAGTTCCCTTTGTTCTGGTGCAGGGAATTATTACAGTTTTTAAAACATTGAACTTTTTATTTCTCTTCCTAAAATAATTACAATAATCACTTGTTGGTATTTTTTTTACCCGTACCTCTTAACCATATTACACTTAAATATCTTCTGGCTTATGAATGATGGTTGGTGTTAAAAAACCAAAAGCTGTTGTTCTAACGTGTGTCAAATGAAGGGAAACACTCAATGACTTGTCAAGTGGGCTTAAACCAGCTGGTCTAAGCACAATGCTTACTTTATGTAGACTATTATCATCTGATCGCGTCAATAAATCTGTCAACTTGTATTGTTGGTACATAAACTATGTCGATGTTGGCTTGTACAAAAACTTCCGTACTTGCGGGTTCCACTAACGTTTTGAATGTATGCTATTTTTTATTTTGGTCTTTGCTTGAAATTTATACTGAAACGGGTAAAAGAAGCGTGTCCCTCTCTCTGTGAAACATATAATTTTTTATTAAGGAATATGGTACTTTTTCTTTATACGCGAGCCAGTGTTTCTTCCAGACTTTTTTCTCTGGGGTGCACTTGAAATTTTCAAAAGGGCGGACAACAATTTCCGGGGGGGGGGGGGGGGGGGGGGTAGAGGACACTGTCAAAAGTATATATTTTCTATATAAATTCCATTTCGTTCGGGGGGGGGGGGGGGGGGGGGGAGGGAGGGAGATGCCTGAAAGAAACTCTGACGCGAGCTCGTCGTTAAAAAAAATTGCCTAAACATATTACACTGGTCCCACTATAGAATAATTTGCAATCATCGTTGTACAAAATTAGATTTGATACGTTACAAACCAAGATTTTGTTTACTTTTTTTAATGCATAAACTGATACAGATATGTTTGGTATATATTTCACGATTTAACAAAGATTTTATTTAAACTTTTTGTCAGGTATACATGTCAGTGTCTTACAGTGCCGCGCCTATATGTTAATGATATATAATGTCACGCTAGTGGTGTAATAGCCGTAGTTAGAATAAGAGAGGTGTGGGTCGGATTAAGAGAGGTATGGGTAAGGATAAGAGAGGTGTGGGCCAGGATAAGAGAGGTGTGGGTCGGATTAAGAGAGGTATGGGTCAGGATAAGAGAGGTGTGGGCCAGGATAAGAGAGGTGTGGGTCAGGATAAGAGAGGTGTGGGTCGGATTAAGAGAGGTATGGGTCAGGATAAGAGAGGTGTGGGCCAGGATAAAAGAGGTGTGGGCCAGGATAAGAGAGGTGTGGGTCGGATTAAGAGAGGTGTGGGCCAGGATAAGGGAGGTGTGGGTCGGATTAAGAGAGGTGTGGGTCAGGATAAGAGAGGTGTGGGCCAGGATAAGAGAGGTGTGGGTCGGATTAAGAGAGGTATGGGTCAGGATAAGAGAGGTGTGGGCCAGGATAAGAGAGGTGTGGGCCAGGATAAGAGAGGTGTGGGCCAGGATAAGAGAGGTGTGGGCCAGGATAAGAGAGGTGTGGGTCAGGATAAGAGGTGTGGGTCGGATTAAGAGAGGTATGGGTCAGGATAAGAAAGGTGTGGGCCAGGATAAAAGAGGTGTGGGCCAGGATAAGAGAGGTGTGGGTCGGATTAAGAGAGGTGTGGGCCAGGATAAGAGAGGTGTGGGTCGGATTAAGAGAGGTGTGGGTCAGGATAAGAGAGGTGTGGGCCAGGATAAGAGAGGTGTGGGCCAGGATAAGAGAGGTGTGGGTCGGATTAAGAGAGGTATGGGTCAGGATAAGAGAGGTGTGGGCCAGGATAAAAGAGGTGTGGGTCGGAATAAGAGAGGTGTGGGTCGGAATAAGAGAGGTGTGGGTCGGAATAAGAGAGGTGTGGGTCGGAATAAGAGAGGTGTGGGTCGGAATAAAAGAGGTGTGGGTCGGAATAAGAGAGGTGTGGGTCGGAATAAGAGAGGTGTGGGTCGGAATAAGAGAGGTGTGGGCCAGGATAAAAGAGGTGTGGGTCGGAATAAGAGAGGTGTGGGTCGGAATAAGAGAGGTGTGGGTCGGAATAAGAGAGGTGTGGGTCGGAATAAGAGAGGTGTGGGTCGGAATAAAAGAGGTGTGGGTCGGAATAAGAGAGGTGTGGGTCGGAATAAGAGAGGTGTGGGTCGGAATAAGAGAGGTGTGGTCGTCTTGGGAAAAGGCTGGCGGAATCGGTGCGATCAGTGTTTCTTTCGGACTTTTTTCTCCGTGACTGGGTACTGGTAAAAGTATATAATATCTGTATAACATCTATTTCGTTGTGGGGGGGGGGGGGGGGCGGGGTTCGGCAGATGCTGAAAAAAAACAGTGAGTGAGATATATACCCGACAAAGAAATGTATATAGGCCTAGCTGCAATGTGTTCGAACCGGCCATACTTGTTTTGCTAAACCCAGCTTAAATATTATTTTTTTAAAAAGGTAGTTAAACTAAAGCTCTTTATCAGAAAATTATTTCATAGTTGATTGAACGAGGCTAAAGCTTTGACACAATGTCACTCACTGGTCAGACTTAAACCCCTTGTCAGCCCCATTCCAATGGCGTGCAGTAAAACGTCCAGCACCGTGCTGAATGTTGGGGAGGCTGCGCTGGGTCATCTGATCCCCGCGGTATTAGGATTGTGTTCAGGCCTGACCGTCGCGCGGGTATTGATTGGGGGGCTGGAGAGCTCGGTCTCAACACGCTCAAATACTCTTGCAGTGCAGCAGTACTGGAAATATATTTAGTGCAAGCGTTTGGGGGTGGATTGATTTTAATCAAGGGGAAAACAACAGGGAGAATGGTCTATAAGACAGATTGTTTCACACAATAAATCCGTTGTTAGGAATGCTAAGCAATTCGCGGTTATAAAAAAAAACGTCTTTAGTTACGTTTTTTTTTAAATAAAAAATCTCAACAGCTGGTTGGAGAGATCGTATCGTTGTGTTAATAAATGATTTTTCCCCTCACCCGACATGTTGTATGTTATTGGTTATGTCCTGCCTCCAGTATATGGCTGTGTTAACAACATTCTGTAGGTCCTACATATGGCTTTATACCTATGGTTGTTACCAACATAGAGCCTACATATGCCTTTGTTACAGCCTGTACCTATAGTTACGTTACCAACATACTGTAGAGCCTACATATGGTATTGTTACAGCCTGTACCTATGGTTATGTTACCAAAATACTGTAGGGCCTACATATGGTATTGTTACAGCCTGTACCTATGGTTATGTTACCAACATACTGTAGGGCCTGCATATATGGTCTTGTTACAGTCTGTACCTATGGTTATGTTACCGACATTCTGAAGGGCCTACATATATATGGTCTTGTTACAGTCTGTACCTATGGTTATGTTATCGACATACTGTAGAGCCTACTTATGGCCTTGTTACATTCTGTACCGATGGCTGCTTTGACCTACAGTCTGTGCCGTCAGTTTATTGAACTCAGTGCCTTAACCTTTTTCTGCAAGTAAGTAATCGCATTACCAAGGTTCTAATAGGATTAACTTCGTCCTGCAGCACTGTCACGTGACATACTGGGCTGCCAGCACCACGTGACATCTTTTCCCCCCATGTCTACACCACGTGACATCCTGTCCCCATGTCTACACCACGTGACATCCTGTCCTCATGTCTACACCACGTGACATCTTGTCCCCATGTCTACACCACATGACATCCTGTCCCCTATGTCAGCATCACGTGACATCTTGTCCTAACACCCATAGCAACCAGCCATGTCAAAATTTAGTACAGTTTAAAGTTATGTTGACAGATTCTTAGAATACCGCAGTACATCATCCTATAGTAGTACAGTGAGCATGTTTTTACTATGCTGTCTTGGGGTAGTTTTAGTACTTAAAAATATTTTCAATGCTGAATTGTTTACTGATGTGGGATCCGTTGATTGACAGGTATTTTTTTAAGGAACAAAATTGTCTTAACAGGAGGCGTGTATTGACCTATTGTTTTTTTATCTTAAGATGGTACGGAGTGGTCGAGTAGTTAAGTGTGTTTTTAACAACCAGATATTCTCCGTACAGCTTTGAGTTTACTCAGCCCTTATTAGTCGGGGAAATCACATTTCATATGCCTATAGACTCAGTGGCGTAGCCAGGATCGTCTCAAGGGGGGGGGGGGGGGGTTCCAATTTTTACCCGGGGACAAACTTTCGATTTGCACCCTCCCTCAAACTTTCGATTTGCACCCCCCCCCCCCCCTCAAACTTTCGATTTGCACCCCCCCCTCAAACTTTCGATTTGCATCCCCCCCTCAAACTTTGTCTATATATCGAGGGGTCTATGGGGGGGGGGGGGTTATGACCCCCCTGCCTACGCCACTGTATAGACTTCATTTACCCCTTGTATCCTCAAGTTTTAAAGGGAACTTTAAGTAAGGTAATTAGAAGCCTTAGAGCTAGTAATAACATACTATATTATCAAGACCAAAACGATATGTCACATGCGGGTTTTTTGTGTCTGTGTGTTAAAGAATGATTCCACAGGTTCGATACTTCAAGCTGCCACCTGCCACCACCAATTGAGTAGAGCCCCTACATTGTAAGCATGCCTAACACTTCCTGGTTTTCAGAAGCTCTCCCATCAGCAATAGATATTTCTGAACAGTATTTTTTTTCCTACACCAGTCTAGAATGGCCGTAAGCTTAATCTGCATTGTGGTTACATTTAGTTGTTTCCAGAGAGGCTAATGCCAAGCCGTTTTTGTAGTCCAATTATGTCCGCCATATAGACTCGAGGCATTTTTTAAAATATACGTTACCGGATGCAGTGATAAGTTCATTTCTTTAAATAGAAATGATGAAATAAGGATCTTGTGATTTCAAGGATTGGGCAATCGGCTTAAGCCTGATTGGTGGCAGCGAGAAACGTTTTTTGTATGTACATTTTAAGGTCAATGCTTCCTATTGGGGCGTAGCACAGGATATGAAATTATTCGTATTCGGTGTTAGGAATTACATTTTTACAATTTCTGATGCACATATCCATACATGAAATTCCATTTAGGAATTACATTATTACGATTCTGACGCACATATCCAAAAATGAAAAATTCCATTTGTATTGTAAAAATACCCACAATAGCATTTTATTTTTTGTTAAATTTATCTGCTGAAGTCGGTTTACGCATTTCCTTGAGAAACTCTGCTCTTAACGTCAACGCAGTAGAAACAAGTTACTCCAGCAATATTGCTGTACTGCCCCTATAAATACTATAATGCTTACACGGTGTTGGGCATGGTCCATGGTACCGTAACAGGGAGAGAGGGGTTGTAGTGTTAAAAGTTATATATCCCGAATTCTTTCTTGGTACATAATGATAAGTTAGCCATTTTGGTGTCAATACACCCCCTCCCTTAAACACACACACACGCCGCATATTAACATTTTTTACCAATGTTCAAGCCAACTAACCGTTATTTGCCATCGCCATTCAAATAATATTGAAAAGTCACCTTTGTAAAAGAAAATATAAATCTTGGATTAGACGTAGAGTAGTTATTATTTAACAACCCACCATGAGTTCATTTTCTGGATACATTTATAGCGGAGTGCGTGTTTTCTCTTGGACGCTCACTGTGGACGCGAGGGTTTATACTGTAGCCATGGCAACAGATTAATGTCTGATTAGTGATAATATATTCCCGTCTCATTACTTAAACACGTGACCGGATGTGGCGAGTCTGAAGCTGGGTGACCTTCGATGACCCATTTATACTTGCCGCCGCGTGGCGCCGTCCTGTTTTTGGTGCTTTTTTTTTGTTTTACGATTTTTTTTTGCCCCATCCGTTTAGTTCGGCGTCCTTGAGGATATATGCCTTGTGTACACCATAGCTATGTGCATTGTTTCTTTTAGTGTTGTTGATGTCTTTCTATCTGATACCACTAATATGTTCTTAAGACTCTGTTAAAAGGTACTCTATTCGAATTGTATGTCATAAGAGATTCTTTCAAGCACTGTCCCATTCTCCGACGCACGTCCATAATTCCCCCCCCCCCCCCCGAACAAATAAATATAAAAATTAAAATAGAAAATGTATGCGTTAACAAGTGTCTGTCATTTTAATCCTTCCCCCTTCCCTTAAAAAGTTTTTTAAGTGCGCCCCACCCCGGAGAAAAATTTCTGAAAGAAACACTTTATGTCCATCATATATTCATCGGTTCAGCATAACTATCTATGAAAGCTGTTTTGTTTTTTGTTATGAAAATCCCTATGGTCTTTCTTCCTCTGCATAATCTTACACTACAGTTCATCCTCTCTTTCTCTTCCCAGCTGTCTTCATCCCTCTCTCAATCTTTTCCTCCACCCCTCCCCATTTCCTGCATTGGTTCGCATAATCGATACACAATAACCGAGTCTGAAACCTCATACATATTCACATAGACGGATAGATGACAGAGCATTATAACAACTTAGTCCTCTCTCTTTTCTACGGCCCTGTTAATGGCCAGTCTCTTTGTGTGCGTGATAAGTGATTTCAGTTCTTTGTTAACGATACTTTGTATTTGCTGTCTGATGCTATTGACAGATGTTTTCCGTGTGCGAATCGTTGAATATTATGTGTTGCTCGAATCTTGGCTATTTACACATTTTGGTACGCTTATTAGCTTATTACTTGATCAGACAACACATTTAAGTTATGTTAATGAAGTTCTTCTTATTTTTTTGTGGTGAGTTTTTTAATAATTGCTACCTTAAACTTAAAGCTTTGTCATCTTGTTCTTTTCCTGCACATTTGTTTGATGGCTATCTTCACACTTTGTGTGAAATCCTGTTCATAAATAGCTATTTACACACATGGTGTGTACATTATTTCTTCTATTCCCCACACTCAGCCAAATATTTGCTTGTAAAATACAGTTTGCAATAAAATCTTGACGTCTATTAACTCAGTTACGTGTTGTCGTACAAGTATTAAAATATCACGACCTTTTTTGTTTTTTGAAAAACACTTCAACTATATGTTCTGGATTTTCTTCAGATGTTTTAATAATTCAAAGGCAGCGTTTTTTTTCTCGTTTTTTTCCTCATCTTAGTTTTAGGATATCATTGACGTCATTGGGAGCTGGTAATACATTATTGCCATCCAAACACAACCGGCGGCGGAAGAGTTATCTCCTCCTGATTCGTGTCCCTTTTTACTTACGTATGCAGTGACATTCTCCCTTTACTGGTCGACACAATACACGTGACATTTAATAATGGACAGTATTATTTACATTTTGACTTGGGTTGGAGTATTTTTTAAAAGAAAATAACGTGAAACATTTTAAACATTCTAGAAGCGAATAACAATGCATGGCTTTTGAATTATGAAAGGTAGAAATATTTTCTATTTAGTGTAAAAACGTTTTGTTCAAGATCTATACTCTTGTTTATGCTTTGTTGTGATTATATTCCAATCTCCAAGCTGTTACTGTATAAGTGCCTGGTGTTGCCAAATGGCTAAATCACAGGGAAGTTTTTTTTAATAATCGAAAACAATTTTTTGTGTTGAAAGAAATTTGTTAGTTAAATGTAGACGTTGACTCACCTGAAAAATGTAATTGGTTATGTGAAAAGAAATGTTGGTATATTATGTAATGAGGGTATAATAATATTAATACTTCGTGACCGGCCATTCTATTATCTTTTGACACACAGGGGTGATACTTGATAATTTACCAATGTGGTCGTTCTAGACTTAACATTGTGCGATTTCATGACTGCAATTCATTTGTTATAGAGGCTAATAGTAATAGTAAAGCTGGTAGTGACTAGAAAGAGATTGGCCTTTTGGGAACTAGAGGCCAACGTAGTGGCAGGTAGAGGCTAACCTAGTGGCAGGTAGAGGCCGATCTAGTGGCAGGAAGAGGCCGACCTAGTGTCTTGGAGAGGCCGACCTAATGGCAGGTAGAGGCCGACCTAGTGGCAGGTAGAGGCCAACCTAGTGGCAGATTGTCATTTGCCTTCTAGCGAGTCTAGCTAGATTGTTGATTGTATGTCAGGTATATGGAAACTTTTGTTTAATAGCGAAGTAGGTAGGTTTGTTTATGTTGTACCGAATTATCCGTCCACTTGGATAACTATAACTAATATAAGAATTAGAAGCGGACATCGAACTATATTTTTCGCTTGTTACCTAACAGTAACACCAATTCATATTTTTATTACCAAAATAGTCATCCACATAGTGCAGTCTAGGAATAGAATCAACACGACAACGCCCTCAGCCCCCCCCCCCCCCCCCCCCCCTTAACAAGCCTTGTACGAAATCAATAGCTTTAAAAGATCGATAATGTTTACTGGCCTGGCGGTGCCATGAACAGCAAGTACATGCCATGTTGTTGGTGCCAGTCACAAGTGTAGGTTCGAGATTCGTCCGTCTGTCTGTCTGTCTGTCTGGTACTATGTAACCTACATCCTTGGGGTGAGGGGGGTATTAAATAACAGACTATACGTGCTGCGATAAAACAAAATGGGCTTATAAGGAAGTTCATTGTAACATTTTTTAAACTAAAGGAACATTCAGAATTATAAATAAAAACAACAAACAACTACTGCGTGTATACAGTCATTTGAGATGTGTTTACATTGGTTTTTTTCTGGTTTGTTCTGACAAAGAAATTTCCAACAGTTCACGTGATGAGTTTGTTTCAATATTGGTTTTTAATTATTTAAAACGGGCCGACCCGCGGCGTATCATACGCCGCTATTTAGTTGTTTTATTTTCTACTTTTCAGTAATTCATAATTTGTGAATTCGACAGTATCGACGCTGCCACTGAAAATATTTGCTTTAAAACACTTTCAGTAACTCGTTAAGGACGATACCCCCCCCCTTCCTTTCCCCTACCCCCCCCCCCCCCCTGAATATAAACTCCTCTTAGTTACCTCCCCTAAGTTTAAAATCGTTTCAAACTAAATTATCTGCCCCTAATAACCGTCACTAAACCCTGCTCTACGATTGTAAACATTTAGCGTGAACCACAGCTCACAAGACCATGTAGGGGTGGGGTGGTAGGGAGCGCGCTTACAGCTTGGTGTTTTCTATCGTCTCCAACAAGAGAATTATATATATAGAAGATAGAAGAAAAATTTAGCTTACAATGGTTATAAAATTGATTCTTGGTGTTAGTAGAACATGTATTACATTCACATGCCCTTTTACAGCAGCCAGTTTTATAAAGCCGCATACAAAAATAATTAAACTCGATGGGTACTAACGGATGGGGGTGTTTCAAGTCGGCGTTCAAACACTTGGTTTTATATTAGTCTGAAAATATCTATTATAATATTATTTTTTTTTATTTTTTTTACATCTAGGTTGCATAAAGCGACCATTACACTTAACACCTTATTCCAAAGTTGTAGTTATGGTCGAGCTAGTAGCTAGTAGACCACAGTCATCCTTCGCTACTTCGCAGTTCATTTATCGCGGCCTCGGTACATCGCTGGTTTTTATACTATAAATATTTTATTTACGTATTAGAAACTATTCTGCAATGTTCTAACAACATACTCGCTTATATGATGCGCTTATTGATATTAAACATACACAAAAAATGTATGTATGTTAAAAATGAGGGCATAACACTACTTCGCGGTTTTTCACTTATCGCGTCCGGTTCTGTCCCCTATTTACCGCGATATAACTGAGGGATATAAATCTATGATATAACTGTGAGATGACTATTTTCTTCAGTTTTGACATGAGTTTGGTTAGTGTTGACCTGTGATGTAGTAGCCTATAATAACAGGGGTAAAACAGCCTCCGTACCTCAAGTCCAATGTATTGACGGGTTACCGAGGTGTTTGACACATTGTCAGCCCCGTGATACACGCTTCTCGATTACACAATAAAGTAAAAAATAGCAGGTGGCCCCGTCGGTCACGCGGCGACACGGCGAGGACACCGAAGCGGCGCGGTGTGCTGTCTGGTCCCGCGCGTGTACCTGGGGCCGTGTTTGGAAACAGCTGAGACATGTCGTCTATTTTTAGCCATTGGAAAGATCTGGTAGCCCAGTGTAGCAGCTGATTAGCTGGACGAATTCTCACGAGAAGTGTGAATGGTTCGTATCGGTTGGTAGACTACACCATTCTGTTAGTTGTTCTTTCGGCTCAATGGATCGTATTGTTGCTTGTTAGCTGCTCTGGGTACATTAAGGTAGGGCACTAGATCTACTTCTCGATGTACGCATATTATTTTAGAGTAAAAGATTTCAGTGGGCTGGACTAGAATTTGTCTTAAGTTGATCCCACTTTCTTTCTTTAGAATGACTTCTCATTTGAAAATTCTAATTCAAATCGAATTGAGTATCTTTAGTGTTTGCCTCTGTGTATCACATTAACATTGTCAATGTCACTATTATTATCATTCATTATAGACAATTAGTAGTTCTACTATACTAGAACTAAACGAGTCTAGAATCTAGATCTACTACTCTAGACTAGATCTATCATTGAATATTAATTTATAAAATCAAATCGAGAGATAATTTAATACATTTTGTCACATTGTTAAGGCTAACCCCCTTGCCTAAAACTTTTTTTTAAGGTACCCCACTGTTAATGAATGAGTGTGTTGTGTTTAAGACAGTTTAATGTTTAAGTGAGTGTTACTGTTAGAATCTACAGTGTACTACTCATTATAATAAAAATGTATTTTTTTTTGGATAGGCCTACCTATTATTTATTTTATTTTTCATAGTCCTTTAGTTGCTTGATTTAGAATTAAATTACTGTACTGGTTATTCTAGTTATTACAAGATCTAGATGTATGATTTAGTTCTAGTCAACAATTTCTAGGTCTAACTTTGTAATAAATAGGCAACTAACATGTATTTTAATAATTTACAGCTAGATGAGTCTAGAGCTGGTTTATTTTAAAATGTAGTGTATTGTCACCAGCAAAATATCAAACAAAGACCTGTGGCAAATTTTAAAGCAACGGCCAATAGAGAAAGATATTAAGGCCCGAAAATGGGGATGGATCGGACACACGTTAAGAAAAGAAAAAGAAAACATCGCAAAACATGCATTGGACTGGAATCCCCAGGGGAAAAGGAGGGTGGGCCTACCAAAGAAAACATGGAAGAGAACGGTTGGGCTCTCATGGGCACAGATCAAAGGAGCAGCCCAAAACCGAGTCCACTGGAGATGTGTGGTTGCAGCCCTTTGCTCCCCAGGGGCCATAAAGGAGTGATGATGATGATGATGTATTGTCACCAGATGGTTGAGCCTAACTCATATCATCATTTTATGATCAAAGGACAAATATTGATTAGCCATATACTCATATACCATACATAAAACACCCATACCCTCTTTTATTCATGTCATATTTTCTACCCTTTAATCTTCTATATTATCTTCTGCCTACATACTTAATTAAACAGCTCTATTCTATTGAGTATCTCAGTATAGACTATAATATTTATATAAGGCAACCTCTTTCATTAAATACCAACCTCTTTCATTAATTGAATACATACCTCTTTTATTAATTAAATTCATACATTTTTTATTAATAAAATCATCCTTTCATATAGAAAGGCGACCTCTTTCATTAATAAATCCGATGGAGGCCACCTCTTTCATTAAATACAGCAAACCTTTTTCATTTCAAGCAACATTCTTCTAGTAAAAAGCCACTCTATAAAACTTATGTGCCTAAAAGTATTTATGGAATTGCAAACTGCTGTTATTACTTGACCTATTGTTAATACTATAACTTAAGAACATTAAAACAACTGTTCACTAATTTCATTTAGAAAACTCATACCTAGTTTTTTGAATACCAGCACATTTAGGCTGATTGGATTTTTGTTTTAAGGTAACATTTTGACCACATATTTACCTTGAGAGTATGGCTAGTTAATCAGAACTGATTGAGGCATCTTTATCAACCATTCAGACCTTGTAACCCTTAAGGCAAAGTTAAGGTGAATAACAAATTGTAATACTACTAAACTAGAAATAGTTCTTAGCGTGCTTGATGAAGAAAAAAATATATCGAATATTATATGTATTTTTTTTCTTTCACACAATTACTACTGAGCATGAAGCTCAACACATGTATACTTTCCTCTTTACTTAGGCTTAAATAAAACACAATAATAATCAGATAATCAGGTAATTTCCTCATAATGCAAGTATAGACAATGTCTAGGACGGTTTTTAATTATTATTAATTTTAATGAAAGCAGGTCACCTGACAACACTCTCCCAGTAAATTGTGGGGAGGGGTGTTTGTAAGTTGTAATGTTACATGTTATTTATATTTAGGACTAGTTTTAATTTCACTAAGTAAATAATTCACTACTCCACCCACCCCCGTTGATTAAATAAATTGCCTGGTGGTATTTGGGGAATTGCCTCTCAGATATAGGTGAGGGAAGGAGTATAAATTCTTCTGAAAGCAAAGTCACAGCAGAAGAGAAAGGTCATTCTATTTTTAATTAAAATACCACCTACTTTAACACGATGGTTGTAAAATACTCTTTACGACCTTGGTACATTTTTAATGTTTTTACCCTTTATATTTTTAATGAGGTGAGAAAACCTTGGAAAAATATTCGTAAAACAAAAAACATTTGGTTTTAATTTTTTTTCTGCCTGTTTTGCTGGACAGACAAATGACGGAAATGCTAGAAGTTCACCCTTTGATAGCCTGTTTATTTAGCTGTCTGTCTTTGAGAATGTTAAAGTAATAGCTTCTGTTAAAAAGAAAACTCCTTACCAAGCTGTTGTGAATTGCTTTTTGTCGTGGGTGAACTCAGCTTAACCGAGATAGTTGAAATTGTTTCTAGAGATGATGTAAATGTGTGCAGACTTTGTCCTCATTTGAGTTTAATGCTAATTTTGTGTAGACTTGGTCTACTTAAATTTAGGTGGGTGTCTAGACTTCTTAAAGTGATGTTTCCTTTCTTTGCTCACCCACATTTAACTAAAGTAAATATTCTTGTATGGCCTACTTTTACATTTAGATTAGTATTTAAGAGTTCACAGAAAAATTAAGAATATTAGGATAATTTTAAATAGTTTAAGGCTTTATTTGTTTGTTAGTAACATGTAGTTATCTGTTGCCTTGTGGTAGTTTAGTCATGAATAAAATGTAGATCCTATTAGGACAGTGACATACATGCTAGCCATGTGATAGGTGTAGCTGACCTAGTTGTCTCAGAAAAAAACAAACATGATCCTTGTCCCTACTGGTGATTGAACATTCCCAGCTGCATTAGCTCCCAAATCACAGTGAACAACTCCTGTTAAACAAATCTTTTTTTATAATGATTTTTTCTCTCCCCTCATTGCAGACCAGGTCTGTGTTGAAAGAATGTAGCCAAACCATGTCTGTGTTGAAAGAATGTAGCCAGACCATGTCTGTGTTGAAAGAATGTAATAGTCTCTTCAAGAATTCAGATGACTGTTGTAGTTGAACTTGTCCTTAATAAGAAATTCTTTGTCTCTTTTGACATAGTTTTTACATGGACTTACATAGTGCTTGCTGTATTGGCCAAATCTTACTACAAGATCAAGTGTGGGAAAAGGGTGGGGGGTGTTTGCTGTAGGCGCAGACTGTATTTAAAGAGAGGGGAGGGGGGTTGGGGGAGACTTACTCCTGGTCAGACATGCATGACTGTCACTCCCTATTTCTTTGATATAAAGGCCAGGTCTTACAACTCTTTCTTCACTTCAACTCTCTACACTACGGTGATAGCTTATATTGTATCTTTAGTAGCTTCAACAATAAAAAAAATCTGAATACTTTTATACTCATGAATTATTCATTATTGTAATAAAAGTGTCATTAGCTTAGTATATTTTATAATCCACTGTTTCATGTTGACTAAAGAGTAAGGTTTTGTGACTGAATCTTTAAACAAATCTAAAAGGCCAGAGATTTTTTTTTTTCCACTTGCAGAAAATAATCAAAAGTAATATATTTTTAAAACTATTTAATGTATTAACCAAAATTATCAAATAAAAATATTTTTTTTATTGTGTATAAGTTTAATTCAGTTAGAGAAGTGGGTTAAACTTGTTCACCCACTGAAGAGATGGTGAATCAGTTGTGTCTACAAATTGTGTTGTTTGACTGGTGTGACATGTAATGTGACAAGCCATTTGACTGTAGTCTGAAATGTGTTGTTTGACTGGTGTGACATGTAATGTGACAAGCCATTTGACTGTAGTCCGAAATGTGTTGTTTGACATGTGTGGTATGTAATGTGACAAGCCATTTGACTGTAGCCTGAAATGTTTTCCGTCCACAGATGACAAGCCATTAAAATAAATCAAGTTTAGGCTGACAGCTGTGAGAATATTCATACCCTAACTCTCCTCACGCAGACTTGAAACAATACTTTTGATTTGGAGGTTGAGAGGTCCTAGTCTATTCTAGTTTTGGTTGGGGAGGAATGGAAAATGTTCACAATGCTATAGCATGGTACCAGAAAAAGGTAGGACAATGTTTTGGTAATTTTCTCTGTTCAAGTTACTTGCTCGTTTTACTGTTTAGCAATGCAAGTCAGCAGAATATTTGTCTGCACATAAGTCTCATCCTGGTATTACCTACTTATTTACTAGTATTTAATTTAGGTTAGTTTACTTATTATATTTTGTTACAGATGTAAAAATTTTACATTTCTTGTTTAAAATACTACAAATTATCCAATTAATTCACACAGCACAGGACATTAAACTTGACTGATATCTAAATTTAGAGCAATTTGTTATAAAAAATAGTTATATATGCTTTGGTTACATTTGAGAACAAAGTGATATGAATAGGGTTTAGTAGTGTTAAAATGCTGAATGCTGTGTGAATGGTGCATTAGACATGGTGAGTGAGTTAGACATACTCGACCGTTTTCACTTAGACAATAAAATCTTGTGAAGTGTGACAAATAATCCAAAGCAAATAACAAGTGAGCTGTTATAAGCTGCAAAACAATTATGTCATTGTGCTGTCTTCTTGTGTGTATTAGATAAGATTGTCTGTGTGGGGGGGGGGGGGGGGTGGGGGGGGGCAAAATAATTTATTTTTTTACAATATAGTGTTTAATCTTGTGAATATTAATTTAATGAATTTAATATAAAGGAATTACAATTTTGTGAAGGTTGCTCTGAGTTTCTTCCAACCTTAGTTATGACACATACAATTTGATAAAAAACAACAACACATTTTCTTTGACAGATTGGATCCTATGACAAACAGCTTTGGGAGCAGTCAGTTGAAAAAAAGTTACAGAAGGTAAAATCTACTTCTTTTTAAATACATTTGTTTGATTCTGTCCATAGTGTTAGAGTATCTTGGTTGCAGATTTTTTACCTCAGTAATGCTGGGGTGTTCATTGTTTTACATCTACATACTTACTTAACATCTGGTATTGTATAGCCAACTTTAAAATAAAATAAAAAACACTATACTGTTATTGACAGTTAACAGAATGACCTGATTTTAGGAGAATTAGTAACACATAATAAGAAATGATGATTAAAATTTAAAAAAATTTAAAGGCTCCCTATTATCAGTTTTAGTCCATCCCTCAGATATAGAAACTAAGAATTTCCTCTCAGGTAAACTAGCATGACACACTTAAGACTTCCTTTAACTCTTTTTTTACCTGTGGAAATCCCAGCTGATCAAGTCTTTTAAAAGCAAATCTATTTTTAGAAAAGTAGTAATCCCTTTAAACCTGTGTTTCTGTCAGTGTTATAAAAAATACTTTGGTCTTGTATAATTTTTAAAGTTGTATTTTAAAAGTTTTTAGGAGACAAACAATTATTCCAATATTATTATTAAGAGCTTGTATGGAATTTGCAGTCAAGGCAAGCATATAATTGTTTCCTTACAATTCTACAAGTTAAATATTAGGCTGCCTATGGTTGTGTGGAACTTGGTATGTTTACTTCACCTTAACTGGCCCTTAGTAACAATAGTATGAATAAAATTTGTTTATTAACTATCTCATCCCTTACACCTAATATTTTATGCATCTTAAATGTTTTATATAAAATAAATACTCAGCAATAAAGCACCCTTTTGCTTTTTAATTTACATGATCCAATATATATATAGCAGAGTTTTTATCAGCCATATATAACCTAGATCTATTACTAACCCCATAAAACCTAGATATAGTCATGACCTAGATAGTTATCATATTTTCTTCTTAGGTTTTTTTACCTACACATGTGACTGAGAGATTTATGTAATGTGACCTATTTTATAGACCAAATTTAACCTAGATTTTTACCTGATGATACATTAATATACATTTTTACTCTCCCTATTCCAGCAACCACCTTTTGTGTTGCATAATGCCCCAAGAAAGAAGGTTCGATTAAAGACAGAATACATTGATGTTGATCTTATTCGAGGTGAGTTACCCAATTAAGATTAGGTAAAGGCTTTTTTTTTAAGTGAGTGCAAGCTTAAAAGGCATATGTGTATCTCTAGTCTTTGGATTTTGATTATGTTTCCATATTGATCTTTAACAGATTAGAAATTTTGTATTTATCATCTTATCTTGTTATTGTACAATAATGTTTATTTAAACTCTAGGCTCAACATTTGCCAAAGCCAAGCCACAGGTGCCATGGGTGTACATCACAAGGAAGGCTGTGGCTCGGGTCATGTTTTTCCCATTCTACTACAACTGGTAATGATATTGTGTCTTTTGCCTCAGTTACTTATCTATAGCTCTCACTAGATGTCTCTCATAGCTGGCATTATAGAAGAACACAGTTTTGTTCTTTGTTCTTGTATATGTTAAGTCAGATCTAAACTATTTATTTAGAAATAAAAATTTTTCTAAAAATAACATTTTAGCATATTGTTAATATTTTTTTATAAATTTGTGTTGAATATTAACTAATATTTATATTTTAAAATAGCAATTTTAAATAGATTTTAAATATTGAAGACATAGTAGTAAAATAGCATTTAAAAATGTGCAATTAAGAATTATTTATATACTTATAATACATAGCGGAATAAAATGAAATAGAATAGAAGAATGAGAAATGATAAACTAAAGTAAAATCTCAAGTAAATTCTTTTCTGAAATACAGTAATATAGTATAGTATTATTAATAAACTGAACTTAGTATATTTTTTTTCTGCATTTATTAGTACTAAAAACTAGACCATTGTGTATGTTTAATCTGTTTTTACCTGTCTACCATTTTATTAAAAAAATGAATTGATAGAGTGCTATTTTTCATCAGGTGGGTCCACCAGACATCCAAGCAGCTGTATGCCATTCTGTTGGTGCTGTACGTCTTTCAGGTTGTCACGATCATTGTTTACCTTAGAAACTTTGACCACAGCATTATGGAAGATGTAGGTATCGCTGAGGTTTGTGTGGAGATTTTTACATCAGAGATTGACCTCAGCCTGCTTGTTATGGAACGTGTTGTTTTTTTTTGTTTTGTTTTATATGTTTTTGTAATATTTTCTTTATGCTTGATATGATTTGCTTGTGTGAGAAGTCTAATTCAAACTTTGGTGTCTGTACTGTGTCGGGGTATTTTCTTGTTATAAGTTTTCTTTTGTACTGTGTCGGGTTATTTTCTTGTTATAAGTTTTCTTTTGTACTGTGTCGGGTTATTTTCTTGTTATAAGTTTCCTTTTGTACTGTGTCAGGGTATTTTCTTGTCATAAGTTTCTTTTTGTACTGTGTCGGTGTATTTTCTTGTTATAAGTTTCCTTTTGTACTGTGTCGGGGTATTTTCTTGTTATAAGTTTCCTTTTGTACTGTGTCGGTGTATTTTCTTGTTATAAGTTTCCTTTTGTACTGTGTCAGGGTATTTTCTTGTTATAAGTTTCTTTTTGTACTGTGTCGGGTTATTTTCTTGTTATAAGTTTCTTTTTGTACTGTGTCAGGGTATTTTCTTGTTATAAGTTTCTTTTTGTACTGTGTCGGGGTATTTTCTTGTTATAAGTTTCCGTATTGGACTTCTATTGCTTTTTTGGTGTTTAAAAAAATACCTAAATAAAAAATGTAACATAAGGTAAATGCAAGAAAGTATGTACTGGTGTGCTAGGATGTTTGTTTAGTTTATAAGAACAGTTATGTTTCAGTCCAATGTGTTTGTTATTCCAGGAGCTTTCATTCACTGAGGTCATCCTGCCAACTATCCTAATGTTCCTGCTGTGTCTGATCCACTCCCAAACAGTCTTGGCCCACATCAGTCATAAACCCCCAAAGAGAACAAAAACAATTTCAGGGTAAGTTTGTTTAATAACTCATTTCAATTGATGATTTGATAGCATTTCTTTAATTTCTGTGATAACTTACTTCGCTTGTTTAATTTGACAAGTTTATATATAAATTTATAAATATTGACAGTAATTAGCCTATTAATTGACAATTATTCACTTGTTGAATGTGTTTTATTGAAAACACTTGCAATGTGTTGTACTGATAACTTGAATGTGTTTTTTTGACAACAGTTTCTATTTTTTGTTACTGAAATAGCAGTTTCCATGTGTTCATGTATTACAGTATTTACAGTTGAGTACTGTTACACTAGTGACTGTGCAGCACATTATAAAAGATCTTTGTAGTATGCTTTTCTTTTAGTTTTATATTTTCATAGTCTGTGCTTAATAATTTAAACAGATAATATAATAGCATGATTTTTTTTTTCAATTAAAAAAATTTCCATATTTAAAAAATAATTCACCTAGATGTGTATATGTATTAATATGTCATTACATTTTACAAATATTTCAATATTGAATTATTTTTCTGATTTTTTATTTTCACTCAGGGTAACAAGGAAAGCTCGCCCTAAGAAAGTCTCTCGCAAAGGTCGCACATCAGGCAACAACAGCACCTGCCCGGAAGATGGAGGCAACACAGACACATCCAAGTCTTCTAAGAGCAGAAACCCAGGCTCGTCTGAGAATCAAGCGGCTCCCTCTGGCAGTGCTAAACCAGACAGTGAGAAAGTTGACGAGCCTGCACCCTGTCCGCTGGACATGGAGAAAAACTTAATGTCAAGGGCAGTCAGTGATTATGATCTGAAACCTGTGACCAGTTCCACTAAAAATGTCACACCGCCCCGCCATGACCAGCCTAGACAGACAGACAGGCACCTCAGCTTTAATGACTACAGAATTACTCCATCAGAGTCTGCGTCGTCACGCAGTGGTGCGTGGGGGCACGGTCGGCCTGACCCAACACACGCTGTGCACAAGACAAAGTGTAGCCACAACTTGTTAGCCAGCATGCCCAATGTTTTAACAGTGGAGAAGGTCTGCCGGGATATAGGCGTCCAGAGCGACAATGACACAGAGGATGGGGACAACGATGTGGGGGTCAAGTTTAAAAAGTCTGACCAGCGGTTGGGCAGGGATAGCTCTAGTCACAGGGATTGTGGTGTCCAGTTTAACACGCCGAGTCACGTGACACACACAAACTCTGCTCCGGTTGGCTGTGTATGTCACACACCTGCCGCTCATGTCAGTTTTGCATCCTGCACAAACACTACTGCACAGGGTTTAGTCAGTCATAAAGTTCACAAAAATTCTTCTTCACCTGGTCCAGTCACCTGTGCATGTAACACACATCCTACTATTCAAGTCAGCCATGCACGTCACGTCAACTCTACTTCACCTGGTCCAGTTTGCTCTGTGGGTCACCCGGCTGCAGTGGATCAAGTTAGTCCTGTGTCTCACACAAGCTCTACTGTACGTGGTGGGGCTTGTGCTGACAACTATGAGGATTGTGATTGTTTAGATGTGATGAAATCATGTTCAAGTAATGAAAGGCTGCAAGAGGAGAGGCCTGATTCACATTCAGGAAGTTCATCTTTAAAATCAGCAACACAGTGTCATGAAAGTAGCTGCAGTCTATGTTTCAATGACGGGTTTGTTCAGTGCTCTGTTGAGCCTTCAGACAGTCTTCACGAGAGAGGGTGTGGTTCTTTAGATAAGAGCCCTGACCGTGACCTTGGTTTAGATAAGACACTGTCCAGCAGCCCTGAGAGGGTTGGCCCAGCTACAGGTGCTGAGGTGGATCTCTCTCCCCTGCTGTCTAAACACACTGAACTGCTGGTGTCCAATTCCTCCAGTGGTGTGGCAGATGTAGGGGCCACCTCGTCAGACCTTGCGGTAAAAAAATGCCAGCACTGCCATGACACTGACAGAGACCTGTGTTACCAGAACCTTCACCCCTGCACCGCTGTTGACTCCAAGCTAGCGGCAAGGTCAAGGTCTGCTCACGCCATCTGTGTGTCAAATAGACCCTCGTCTTGCTGTTCCAGACAGAACGGGTTCAAACAGCCAAGCTTTAAACCCAACCATGTCAAGTTCTTCAAGCAGGACTGTGAGCCACCTTATTCCCGCAGCTGCCCTGATGTGTCCTCTAGGCCCCCAACCTGCTTGGAACAAGCTCCCCAACCAGCTCAGCAAGAACCAAAGAAAACACTCTCCGAGACCTCATCGCAGCTGCAGTGCTTCTCCGATGAGATTGTCCAGGAAATACTCAACCAGGAGACACTAAGAGAAATGAGCTGTAGCTCCCTTCTGCAGCACTCAGATTTGGAGAATTCCTCATCCTCTTTCAGTCATCTCTCAAACTCGTCCTCTTCCATATCGTCACTGTCATCATCCTACAGAATTGACCGCCAGCCTGTGTCATCTCCGTCCTCTCTCGCCCACTGCCTGCAGTGCTGTCCCCACCACCATATGCTAGAAACTCAGTCAGGACATAGCTTTACCGACCCCCATATGTCCACCAGTAGACTGGACAACCTCCTTGATGAGAGCCTGGAGCAGATCAACATGTCTGATGGGGAGAGGCCATCAGATGTGTCCAACTACAACCCATCTGACTCGGATGCTGAATCTGATGCTCCCATAGACACAGATGCCCTAGGCAAACTTGAGGAGAAATGGAAAAGACTTAGATTTCAGGAACAAGATGTTGCCAATGAAAGTTAGTGTTGTTTTCTATGCATTAGTGAAACCTTTTATTTGTTGTTATAAAATATTCCAGTTTGTCAATGTAAATTGACAAATCAAGGTATATGCTGTTTTTTTAAAACCATTGTTATTGGAATTTTTAAAAAGTACAATGCTTCATTTATACATGTTTGTATGGTCTGCAGTAAATTGTATCTGACTACCCAGGTTTTAAAGTCTAGGTATACTGTGGAGATCTAGAATGACTAGGCAAACATTCATACATTTGGACAGACACAACCACTTACATGAGCTCAGGCAATGTTTCATGTAATGCAAATTCTGATTTCAGCAGAACTGATAGATCCAGCAGTTATTCCCCCTTCGTTGCTGTCCAAAACGGGCGTGGCACCAACAAAAGGTGCTGCAAGTCCCAGATCTGTTGTGGGTATTTTAACAAGAAAACCCTCTCCCCTCAAGGACCTGGCTATTGGAAGAGTGGCCAACAATTCTTCAGGTTTGTGAATTTTGTGAGTCTGCAACATTATCCAGGTAGTTATCTGCCTGAAACCATAATGTTAACCACTCTATTTAATTTTTTTTTGCCTAGTTTGCTTTTAAACGAGCTATACGTACATTTTGCTGTAACATTTTAAAAGTCGATTTATGTACATTTTACTGTAAAATTTTAAAAGTCGATTTATCAATCACAATGTCTCTAAAAGACTTTGACATTAAAAAATAATGTCTACAGGAAGTGAAGCAGAGGTGAATGATTCCCGTAACCAGCTCCGCAGGAGGCGACGGGCATCAGGCACTACTGGTGAGAGTAGTGAAAGCAGAGGTCGAAATGTTCCCAATTCATTAGGGCTCCATGCGAGTGATGGCAAACATGTGAGCTCCTCAGAGAATGAGGCAGGGGCCCACACACCTGAAGGCTCTAACAAGGTAAGAATTGTATCTTTCTGTCCATTTTTTTATCATTGTATGGCTATGTGAATTCTCAACACACTGGTCAAGTCATGATGGGACATCTCTGAATCTAATCACAACCTGAGTTTCTTGGGTAATGTCCCACCATTCCCAGTTAAAAAAATATATTTATATAGAAAGTATACTTTAACTGTTGTCATTGCCCCCCCCCCCCCCCACATTAGAGAGGAACCTGATCTCAACTAGTTATGGAATCATAGCATAAGATTCAAAACTTACTATGTTCTCTCTCGTGTACTGTTGTAAGAGTGTTGTGTGGTGTCTTTTTGTATTTGTATATACGCTATATATCATGGTGGTGTAGTTGTTTCTTATCATAAGGTACAATGATTTTGTTTTCAGGCCACCATGAGCTCAGAAGAATGGGAGGATCACATGCAGTCAGATGAGACGACCTCCTCCGCCTACTCCAGCAGTTGTGGTGGCAACAGTGACTCTGGGGAGGAGGAGGAGAAGACAGACTACACCACCAGCACCCTGCATGTCATCAACCTCTTACAGCCGGTAACACATCATTTGTTTTTTTTTATTCTTTCTTAGATGCATGATTGTAAGTACATGTTCTCGCTCTTTCTACTTAGAGGCTCTTTTTAGTGTTGTTCTGAGGTAATTCGTTTAAGGAATTAAATAAAGAAACCCATCTGAATACACCCATTGCAAGCTGAAGTAGAAGTCTTTAGTGTTGTGAACAGTATAAAAATATATATTATCAGTCTCAAACTATTGTAAAATATACACATATTATACATATACTGCCCATATAGATGTTTAGGTACCTTTTACCAAAGTTGTATTTTCTCTCAGCATACTGTGGATTTTATTCTGTAAAATTGGTTGGTGGTAGCATCTGCTATATGTTAGTGTGTCCCAAGCCTTAGTGTGCTTACCTTCTGCATGCGTGTATAAACAGATTTTGTTTGCTTTTTTAAAAATTAAGTGCATGGATTTGCATTTCTAGTGAGAAAATCAAACACCTTGACGTTCAAGACTTGTCCAACAAGTTTTTTCTTACTTGAAAAAGAACATTAAAAAACTTTTTCAGTCGGGGAAAGGATAACGTTGAGATTTCTTCATTATCTTGAAGATTTTTCTGAAGTAGAAGGTTCTGGATCATAGCAGTTAAACTAAGTTTTGGTTAAATAACAAGACTTAATTGTAGATCACTTAGATAACTTCTGCTTTTAAATAAAAATTTGTTCTGTATTCTTTATTTGATTATGTTTACTGAATAATTAAGTTAATATTTAATGCACCATGGTCTTGTGTTCCACATAATATAGTTTTGACAAACATCTACTGTGAAATTATTTTGTATTATAAATTTACAATAGGCCCTGGTGCATATAACTTCAGGTTTGCCAATTTGGCTTGTTTTAATTGTTTAGTTTACATTTTTGCACTTTCTCCCAATATAAGGGTTTGCAGCCTGGCTGCCTGCCTCAGTCAACCCAGGTATTGTTTAATTAATATCCTTACACTTAATTATGCCTTCACATGTGCTGGGACTTTTGACTAATTACAACATGGCAGCATGTTAGCTTTCTTGTTAGTGAAAATCTTGTGCAAGTTTGCTCATTTAGTTACAGCCAACACGAGAGAGCGGCTATTTTTTGCAGCTTTTTAATCAACCCTTTTGTTGCTGCAGTTCTTCTGTATTAAGTTGCAGGGAGTTGCTGGGTGTGGATTGTCTTATTGCAGTTTTTTATTTTTTATTTTTTCATTTCCTGAAACTGGCAGTCATTAACATTTCTCACTGCATGTTTTTTTTTTCCTCATCACTACTTGTTTTTTTTTTTCATTTGGTATATTTTGCTCCTTTAGCTAATTGGCAGCTTATCACTCCCTACCCCCACTTACCCTAACTCTAAATGTATTACTATTATGATGGGCTCCACCACTTTAGATATTTTAAGCTAGGTTTGATCAGTATAAAGAGCTACCAATACTAGGAAGCAAGTCTGATATCTAAGAAAGTTAACATATATGTGTGTTTATATGTTTGGGGGATACAACCAGCCCATCTGAAAGCCTCACAATGGAAACACCAAAAAAAAAACAGCTTGTCATAGCACTTGTTGATGTTTTTATGAATATTTTTTTGAAATTTTATATTTTTTTAAACAGACAGCCAATGGATTGTTACCCCCAGGTTGTACGACCAATGCGAGCATCCTTTATCGCAAAATACAAGTACTAAGTCTTACAAGATTTTTATTTCACCATATTTATTTTTTCCTCCTATATTCGAATTTGTACTGCTACTTTTTTCTGTAGAGGTGGAAAAAAACAAAACCATGGAAATTTTACCATCTTTAATGACCTGGTGTAGGTGCTAGAAACTAACACACTTCAGTGGTACATTTTACTCATTCAGTGATTTAGACTGCAAGTGTGATTTTTTAAAAACTTTTTTTTCTTTAATTTTCAATTTAATTCTCACAGATGTAACGGCTAGATTAACAACTTTAAAAATGTATGCTATTGATTAAAGCAGTGACTTAATTTAAAAAAATAATTAATCTGCTAGTTTAGATATTTAAATAAGCGGTAGCTGTTTGCAGCTATTTTTAAGTTCTAAATGTTTAAATAAGTTAAGTTCTAATAATGATTATTTTCATAAGTGCTAACATAAAAGATCATTTGATAACTGGATAATTAAGTGCAAATGATAATTAATGGCTATATCATGGTTAATTTGATTATTAATAACATTTAAAAAAAATGTATGCCTCATATTAAATTATCATAAAAAATTCTTAGTTGTAAAGTTTTACCTTAAAAAAAAAAAAAAAAAAAAACTGCACATTCTGTGCTTACATTTATTCTGCAAAATATAAAAAAAACACCTTTATGATTGAACTGTGTAACCCATGGCACTACAATTTTAAAGGGTACACCTTCTTCTGTATGCATCTTAAAATCTCTACCTGCGATGCTCCAGTTTGCTGAAGTAACGCACAAGCTTCAATGCACTAAAAATAACAAAACTTTCTGGTCATACTTCTTTAATCGTTTTTACCATCCAACTCAACTGCACCAAGGTATTGGTTATGGACAAAAATAGTTAGGTAAACATGGCTAGTTAATTTCCCACAAGACTGATTTCATGCTGTTTATTGAGGTGATAGCTTGGCAAGAGCATTTATTATTCATGGTATCAAGTTTAATATAGCTTTGGGCAAGGCACATGTTTGGCAAGTTGCATTTATTATTCCTGGTACCTTAAGTTTAAAATAGCTTTGGGCAATCCAAAAGAATTCAAACTAATTCCCAAACCTGGCAAAACTTAAAGATATAAACAAAGTCCCAGAACCTGGATACCCTGTGTTTATACCCACTTCCTTGATTATTTTTTTAATGTCATTCTTTTTAGATGACCTGGGACCTTCATCCTAATAGTTTGTGTTTGTTCTTGATAGAAATATTTAGTTTCAATATTTTTGGCCTGTTAGATGTGTTGGCTGTAAATATCACTGTTTAAATGTTAAAATAATTTACACATAATGGAAGCTAAATTAATATGGTGCATGTCTCTATATAAAATATTGTCTTCTAATTACCAAACCAATCAATAAATAGACTGGCTGAAACATGTATATTGCCTAACCTCTCTCTCCTGCTATATTGGCATATAAAATTATTAAAATGATATTATTAACAGGTTGTCTGTTGATAGTAAGGTTATTTTGTTGTGGAAAAAAATTAATTAGTAAAATATAATCTGCTTTTTTATTATTTGCACAAAAGTTGTGGTAGTAAATGTAGCTATTATAACATGTGTACATTTAGTTTTTTGATTTCTTTGATTAACTTGCCTAGATGTATCGCTATTGCTTCACTTTTTTAAAATTTAAAAGTGCTTCTAAAAATATTTTATTTCTTTACAGATTTTATTTCTTAGTACATTTAAAATTAGATTTTGATTTAAATTATTAAATTATTTTACCTAAATCATATGAATGGAGTGGTGGGAAAATTTTGAATGGATATTTGACATTTTATTATTCTATTATTGTTCTATCAGTAAAAGCCTAACTTGTTTTCTGGTTTTCTTTTAAACAGCAAAGTGGATCACCAACCAGCTCTGGAACTATTACCCAGCCAGATAAAGGTTTTTATAATTTTTTTATGTTTTAGCCATGTTCTTTTATTGATTTAAAAGTTGATGCATTATATCTAGAAACATAAAGAAAGTTGGGTGACTACAGTGTGTCCTACAAAGTAAAAGTCTTTAAATCCATCCACTGTTTCACACTTATTTCACACACTCAACTCTAGTCTAGGTGTACATGTATAGTATTACAAAAAAAAAGATATCTTCCTTTAACTACAAATATGACATGAAAAATTCACCAATTCCTAGCTATCACAACACTGATTCAACCATCTCAGCAAATTGCTATATTTCCCTTCTATTAATCTCTTTGTTTAAAACACAACAATGCCATCTCTACTGCTGCTAGTGTATCCTAATATTTCCCTACCATCCCCTCAGTTGGCTGGCACTAATCAGCACACACCTGGGCTTTTTTGTGTTCACAATATAACATCTGTCTGATAATGGGTGTGCTCATCTCTATGTAAACCTTAGGTTTTGATCACATGCTCTGTCTGTGTATAAGATAAGACTGCCTCTCTATGTAAACCTTAAGTTTTGATCACAATACAGTTGCTCTGTCTGTGTATAAGATAAGACTGCCTCTCTATGTAAACCTTAAGTTTTGATCACAATACAGTTGCTCTGTCTGTGTATAAGATAAGACTGCCTCTCTATGTAAACCTTAAGTTTTGATCACAATACAGTTGCTCTGTCTGTGTATAAGATAAGACTGCCTCTCTATATAAACCTTAAGTTTTGATCACAATACAGTTGCTCTGTCTGTGTATAAGATAAGACTGCCTCTCTATGTAAACCTTAAGTTTTGATCACAATACCTCGGGCAGATGAGGCTCGTTAGCTGGGGACAGCCACTCTTCTAGGAGAGACAACTCCAAAATTAAACAACTGCTGCCTTGTAGTTTGTTCTTGGTTGGACAAAGGCTATGGAAGCAAATCCAAAAAGAAAAGCAGGCTGAAATCGGAGTCAATGGCCTCAATGGCGCATAACCAGTTGACATGTAACGCTTAATTGTGTTGGAGGCGTGGTCAAGTCGGCAAAAAGCTCATGGTTGATAAATTCGAACAGTTTCGAGTTCAACCCCACTGGCAGATAAATCTCGATCCCCTTCAACACTAATAATTAAGAACGAAGAAGAAGAAGATCACAATACAGTTGCTCTGTCTGTGTATAAGATAAGGCTGTTGTTTCTCCAGTTTCCTGCGTCATCTGGGAGGGCAATGACTGCAAGAAAGTGGACCTGACAGCATTGGACATTGGCTGGGCTATCATAGACAAGGTGGATAGTCTTCCAGAGTCCTCAGATTATTTTCTCATTGGGCTTTTGTTTTCTGTACTGATGGGCTTGGTAAGTTTTTCTAACCACTTTTATAATGACTAAATAGAGTTTTAATGAACTGAGATTTAAAATAGATGTCATTAGTTAGTATAAGGTTGAGTTATGATGTATAACATTGCTAATTTAGACTGATAGGGATATCATCATATAGGAAACCTGTTCTGTTAAATTACTGTTAGTGCACGTTAGTGCTAAACTAGATCACCCATTGCACATCTATCTACACATGTTGTTTGAGGCCTATTTTTTGCATGTTTTATGACTTCGGTTAACCTTTTGTTTTGTTTAGGTACCTCTTGTGTTCAGAATTTTTGTAAACAAGGAGACAGCCCGCTGGGAGGACTTTGTCACTTGGTCTGGGTTATTAGCTCAGCTCTCAGAGATCCCAGCATTAATTTGCAACACTTATTCCTGGAGGTGAGCTTTTGATTATTATTAGCACAGCTGTCAGACTACTTAGTTTCTTGTTCACACCTGAACACATAAATTACTTTATGTATATGATTTTCCCTCAAGAGTCCGCTAATTTACCAATTTTTTTTATTGTAGCCAAAATATAAATGTTTTATAAAACTCAAATATTTTATGTTTTATTGGAAAAAAAATAGTTCTTAAATAAAATCTGATATAATTTTATGTGTAACATTTCCCCTTGAGTTTGCTAACTTAATAAACAAAATTTTTAAAATTGTAGACAAATATATAAATTTTGTATGACACTGTCTAATCTTTTGTATTGTATTGGAAAAAATAATATATGTTATATCATGATTTACATCAATTTTATAAATATTGAATAAATATCATGTGAAATGTGTGCATTTGCAGGCAATACCTTCTTATGATTAACGGCATCCTACAAAGATTTTTCCTGAGTCTGATCTTTTTCTTCTTGTTGTCAGTTGCTGACCGCACCTTTAAACAGGTAAATAACCATCACTTACTCCCATTTGGGATTTCTTGTTTACTACTTAAATCTGTATGTTAAGTAATTAATATAAATATTTGTCCATGTAGTTTTTTTTTTTACATTGATCATGTAATTGTTTTAATTTATTTTACACATTTTTTTACAGCGCCTTTTGTATGCCAAGCACTTTAGTTACTTAACTTCATCCAGAAGAGCTCGCAAGTTTTCCATGCCCCATTTCAGACTAAACAAAGTGCGCAATATCAAGATCTGGCTCTCCCTGAGGTCTTATCTCAAGGTAAATATTACAGTATAGCTGAATTAGTCTGAATTAGTTCAAGGTAAATATATCAAACTATGATTCATTTAGGAAAGCACCTAGATTAGAATAGTTAAAAATGATAAATATTTACCAGTCATTTTCAGTACTTAACTATAATAACAGGCTAGATTCTGCAATTTTGACTTCAGTGTGTTAGCCAACAACTATGTAACATGTAGATTTTATATAGTAATAGTTTTATATCTGTTAATTATATTTTACATGCTGTTCTTTTGAGAAATTTTAGAAAGTGACAATGGCAAGTTGTCTTAATGATTGCTATGGTTACATTTGTTTTCAGCGTCGAGGTCCTCAGAGATCTGTGGATGTCATCGTGTCTGCCTGTTTTTTATGTGCCATTTGTACAGTCTGTCTCATATCTTTACAGGTGAGATTGTCATTTTTTATTATATGTTAGTTTGATCTATTACCTGGGAACAAATTGGTATTTATGAAGCATACTGTACCCAAGGTTTTTTCTAAGTTAAAATTGCATTTCACATTATTTAATGATTATGGAAGAAAGTTTTATTCAATTTGTCTTCTCACTAACCTTAAAATTAAAATAAATAAAACTAAAGCTTTAAAGAATTTAGTAATATACTTCTACAAATTACATAATTTACAGATGAACACAGTTCAAAATGAAGATTATTTTACAAGGCTTAAATTATATTGAATTTACCACATGAAAAATTAGTCATTTCCTTTTTGAAATACGTTCTTGAAATGACTCTTAGTTTAAGAATTAAAAACTAATTAGTGCTATAAAATTAAAATACTCTATATATTGTTGTATATGTAATATTCAAATGTATATTTTAAGGCATTTTCCTTTATTGACATAGTACATAGGGCCTTGACATTGTAAAATAGAAATAAAAATAATTTACCACCCAATTTGTAAAAAAATGTAAAAATAATGATTATTGGAGAAAATCTAGAAACCAGATTTGAACAAAGACATTCAAACAGTAAGCTACAGTAGGATGACTATACTACCAAAAGATCAACTACTTATATAATTGTGTTTTAGATGTTGAAAGAAATAGAGAGCTACTACTTATATGATTGTTTGTTTCAGATGTTGAAAGAAACAGAGAGCTACTACTTATATGATTGTTTGTTTCAGATGTTGAAAGAAACAGAGAGCTACCTCTACTACTTATATGATTGTTTGTTTCAGATGTTGAAAGAAACAGAGAGCTACCTCTACTACTTGTGTAACTGGGAACTGATGGTATGGTGCATTGCCCTGGGTGTGTTCCTCATGCGCTTCATGACAGTGGGCCTGAAGATCAACAAGAAGTATCGCAACCTATCAGTGCTGATCACAGAGCAGATCAACCTGTACCTGCAGATGGAGCAGAAGCCTCACAAGAAGGAGGAGCTGATACTGGCCAACAATGTGCTGAGGCTGGCTGAGGATTTACTCAAGGTTGCCTTTGGTTTTTTTTAGTAGCTTTTTGTTTCATTTCATAGACATGAAGCATTGAGCGGAGTTAACCAAACAAAGTTCAGTTGCTTTGCTAGTATTTCTGATAAAGATTATTCAGTCAAGATTGGAGTAGGGTTAAATATTTAGTTGAAGTATTTTATATTTGCTAGACAAAAAATTTGTCTTTTATGCCAATCAAGTAACAAAATGTTCCAAAGTATTTAGTAGTAAATAATAAAACAAAAATATAACCTAGCTGTTAATTTCACAAGTAGATTAACTTTTTCTTGAAAACCACTCACACTTTACCCAGATTAAGATTTTACAATGATATTTTGTTCACTATTAAGGAACTTGAGAGCCCGTTCAAGATTTCTGGTTTCTCTGCCAATCCTCTGATCTACAACATCATGAGAGTGGTAGTGCTGTCAGCCTTCTCTGCTGTGCTGACTGAAGTCTTGGGATTCAAGCTGAAGCTTCACAAGATCAAGCTTAAAGGCTGATTGCCTTGGAGGGGGACACTTCTCTCCATCTTAGCCATCTTGCCACAGGAAACAGGCATCAGTTGAACTGAGACATTGAACAGGTGTTAATTGTGTGCAGTGGACCGCAAAGCAGGTGTCACCTGGATACAAGGGGACAGCAGGTGTTGGGTTGGTGCTACCTGTATGAAGGCATAAACTAGCTGTTTGTGTTGACTATAGGGCAGTCTCTGTCTGATGGTGTAGCCAAACTAACTGCTAAGCAGTAGAATATTGGTATAAAACTGTATACACATTTTTTTTTGGACGTAGTTGTACTTGGTTCGACAACTTATACTTAAAACGTGTTAAACTTTTCAGTTTAGAGAGGTTTTAATTATCGATATAAGATCCGACATATAAAACCTCAAAGTAGATATCCACCCACCTGTTTTAGAGATGGGGTAGGAATCTGTTTTCTAACATGAATCCTCTAAAAATAGATTGCAATAATCGTGAGCTTCTATAAACCATAAAAAATATTCTTAAAAAGAAACAACATGCAGTTCTAATTTAAAAACAAAGAATTCACATAAAAAAGAAGCTTCACTGGGAGTTGAAAAATACACATATTGAAAGAATATCTGAAAATGGGTCACAAATTCAGTACATTTTCATAGCACATATTGCTGCTACAAACTACAAAGGTTGATTTATTTAAAATAAAAATTTCCCTTTTGAATAACTTAGATTGAATATAAAGATTTTGATTAAATTAAAAACACACTGCTGCCAACAGGTATGTGTGAATTGGTGTGATCTTGCAAGGGTTATATTCTTAGTTTGTGTTGACTTAGAATATATAGATAGGAGACCCATGTCACACAGATGGCTAGCTGAACTGTTCAGTGGTATTACAGTCAACTGGTCCTCTTTGGTAGGCTTGCTGAGCTACTGTCTTTTAAGCGATCAATATTTTCAATAAATAAATGGAAGGCTCATTTCTTTTTCATAACCTGTATTTATTGTGGTATTTTTTTTATTTCAGAAAACAGTTGCGATTTTAACACATTTAAAAAAAAAATTTGGAACCAAAATTTTGTTTTAGTAAATCTTAAGTTACATTTTTATTTGTTTAAAGAGTTGTGGTTACATTTTTTTTTCAGTGTAATTTTGTTAGCTGACAAACCTGTTGTTCATTTTTATTTTTTTATTTTGATCATATGGCAGTTATAAGAAGTTTTACAACTCTTCAGTTTATGAATATGTGAGGCAATCCTTGAAAGTTGAAAACATTTGGCATTTTGGTTAACTTAGCTAACTATTGACATTTTAAAACAATTTTCTGTTTGACAAAACTTTTGTCCTTTTTTGGTTCTATTGTTTTGAATAACTGCCCAAGATTTTGAAAACTTTTAAACAAGTTACCAAGATTTGTATAACTTTTTCTTTTGTTTGAAAACTTTTAAACAAGTTACCGAGATTTGTATAACTTTTGCTATTGTTTGAAAACTTTTCAACAAGTTACCAAGATTTGTATAACTTTTGCTATTGTTTGAAAACTTTTAAACAAGTTAACAAGATTTGTATAACTTTTGCTTTTGTTTGAAAACTTTTAAACAAGTTCCCAAGATTTGTATAACTTTTGCTATTGTTTGAAAACTTTTAAACAAGTTAACAAGATTTGTATAACTTTTGCTTTTGTTTGAAAACTTTTAAACAAGTTCCCAAGATTTGTATAACTTTTGCTATTGTTTGAAAGCTTTGTGTAGTTGTCCAATGCTTGTGATTGTCTGACAATCAATCATTGAAACTGATGAAATTTGCACGAAATAATTTTCTTCTTGCCTTTGTTCATCCACCCACTTTTTTGGTTGCAGGGGGAATAATGTCTTCATAAATTTCCATAATCTAAAAGCTGTCCATATTTTGAGCACTAATTTAAATAATTAAAATTCTATTTGAATTTCATCATGGGGCACATGATCTGGTATCTAAAGTAGGGTTAGAAAATTTGTACTAATTTTTGTGATAGGGATAGATCACCTGCCTAAAAATGATAAAAGGGGCAGATAATTTCTTTCTGTCAACTTTGATATTATCCACTTGCAGAAAGGTAGTTGTTTTGGTGTAAAGAGCCAAATGCTATACAATCCATGTAGTAGTACAGTACTGAACCCAGAGAGTACTCAGTACACATAATCTTACCTGTGGACTGTATGATGTTGTACATAGTGCTTGTAAACTAATCCCAAAGATTGAAATATTTATTGTGTCATTTTATTCCTCTGTGACATCCACCATTTAAGAATATTTTTTTTTAATCTAGATATTTAAAAAAAATTTAAATGGAACTTCCCATTATTTGCATTTAACTTTTATTAAGTGCTATTTTTTTAAATATTGTAAATAAGTGTTGTTTTAGATAAAGCTTGCCATAGTTAAATATTTTTAACTGTAGTTTCTTGTAGCTTGCTTTTTTTTTTCTTTTTAAAAATTAATTGAAATTCGAAGTACGCGTAAACAAACATAGGTTCTGTGGAATTCTTTGATTTTTATTTTGTCTGCTTTATGGTTTTTAAAGTTCAGATTTTTTTGTATCTAGTCAATTTTGGCCAACTTTGACAATCCAAAATATTTTTCTTTCAAATTTGGTTATACAATCTGGCAATTAGAAAAATCTGGCTCAACTAAAATAGAGATTTCCTGTTCTCATAGCTTGACTCAGGTACAAGTTTGGAGATTAAAAATTTATATTTATACAAATAATGGTATTAGACAGTCTTAAACACAGCTGTCATTTTAAAACAATGTATGCCCTGTTATAAGGGCCCACAATCCAGTAAATTTGATGTGTGAGTAGATGTATGTAAGACCCACAGTTTATGGTGGGCAGTAGAGTGATTGTTGTAAGAGCCCACAATCCACTACATTTGATGTTGTAAGGGTCCACAGTCCAGTATAGATTTTATGTGTGGGCAGCGGTGTGCCTGTGTTTTTGTAGAACCCCAGCTCAGCCATGTTGGTTTAGCAGTTTAAAAATATTCTCCACAGTTGGCTTGTATTAACATGATTGAATTTCTATTTTTAGCACAATCCTATCTTTTTAAAAAAAAGTCATAATGGTTAAAAACATGTATTTTACAGTTGTAACGATTGTTACTTTCCTGAAAGTTACTTTATAAATATTTTATAATTTTTTAAGGCATAACTTAACTTAAAGTTGAGAAAGGACGATTGATTTACATCTGTCTTGTTAAGTTGAAAAAAAACACATTAAAATGGTTTTGCAGTATCTTTAATTTTCTTTCAAATTGTACACAAAAAGCACAATTATAAAGGTAGTTTATTTCTGGATTTTATACTTGTCTGTCTCATGTCAGGTGTTGTCAGTCTGTTGTCACAACCATCTGTAGGAGGGTCAGATGTTGTCAGCTTAATGTCAGGCTGTTGTCACAAGTTTTAGTCAGTTTGACACAAGTGTCAGTCTTGTTATATGTGGCAGTCGCAAGTACCAGGCTGATGTCATGTGTGTGTCATTCTGAGATAGTCTGTCACCACTAGTTATTATTGTCACATGAAAGACTGTCACCTGTGTCAGTCTGTCACAAGTGTCCGTACGATGTCACATGCCAACCTGTACACAGCTATTGTGGCCTTGTTTTTATTAATTTTTTTTTTTCATTTAAATTTTTAAAAAATTGAACAATAAATGGATCCCTTTTATCACCTGTATATTGTCACTTCATTTTTTTTTAGTCTTTTTAATTTAAGTACAAATTGCAAGGTTTAAAAAACCCTTGTTTGAATAAATAAATTTAAAAAAAAATCAAATTTTGCACACATTAAAAAAAAAAATGATTGCAAAAGTAAGATTTTAAGACTGAATTACAAACAAATTTAATAGAAATCTTACAGACTAGAGTCCTTTTACAAAAGAAATTTCTCTGATTTATTTTGGCAACTTTTGGATTAACTGATTACATCGCCAGTGGGCAGCTGACATTCACTTCCTTACACAAGAACTACGTTGCCTATTGTCCATTGGCTTGACGATGTTTATGGGCATCATTGATCTTTTATAAAGTAACCACACATGGTCCTATAGTTTTGACTATAAAGGCCAATTGTTTCCAGCCCCTTTTTATGTCACTATATTCTTGTCTATTGAACTGTGACAATCTTTGTAATGTCCATCTTTTGTCCATCATCCTATGGACCTTACCATTGAACTGTTAATTGATGGAGACACCACTGTAAGACAATATAATCTTCCTCAACTGTTTATCCATCTTTCGCCACCTAAACAAAGAAGTGGCCTAATCTTAGAAAATTGAAGATATGTATTGTGAAAGAAAAAGTAAACACATGTACTCGGATTATGTGTGTTAGCTGGGGAGGGAGAGTTGGATTATGTTATGTCTCTAAGATGAAGTAGAGCTCAGCATATGAAGGGGAGGTGCGGTCAGCTCTTTGCCCAAGCGCCTTTACTTTCCCTAAACCATTCGAGCTGGGTAACCTCAGGGACGTTATACTGACTTGAACCCGGATTCGAACTCTAGACTTTCGGGTTAGCAGCCTAACGCTCTATCGCCTAGGCCACGCCGTCCCTTATGTCCCTCATTGCGTGAGGGGCTATTTTACACAAGGTATGTATTTTATTACATAAGTTCTATTTCGATTGGGAGGAGCTGTAGGCGTGCTTCGTGGAGGATGCCTGAAGGAAGCAATGGCTACGCTGTTGGATGTGGAAAGCGGGTCTGTTACCCCGGGATCCTTGGGGTTGGATCCCGGATTTGAACTCGAGACTTTTGAGTTGGCAGCGTACCCTCTACAGACCAACCAGAAAAATTCGCATTTAAACAATACATTTTGCTTAACCTTGCTGACTGTTCATCGTCACACATCGTCACCCCCCCCCCCCCCTTTCCGGGTATGATGGACCCATCAAAATGCATATAAGATCTAGTTAGTTTTTATTTTGAAAATGTTAAAACATGATAGATCGTACGTAGTACGTAGATATATTTATGTGGCCGGAAAACTTTCCCAAATATAAACACAGAGAAATGAATGATTTTAATATATTACAGGGCGAGATCCATTTCAGCCATGTTTGTTATACACTTTCCGCCGGCATTAGATCATTTTACACCACTACAACGCCGAACGCCGAGGCTGACGTCATGTCCGGCTGCCTAGCCTATTATGGCGGGTCCAAGGGAGAGCATTCTGTTTGCACACTGTCGCATGGTGCTCTTGTTTTTCCGAGGCACCATTAAAATATTCTAATAGGCCACTTTGGCCCAAACCTGCAGTGGCGTAGATTTATTTTAATCAAGAGTGGGTTCAAGATGATCTTCATTGTTTTGTTCATAACTTTATCCCTGTGAAATTTGGCACATTAAACTAATAATTCGGCCATTTTTTAAAAAATGCTTGTTAAAAGCAACGTCATCTCAAAGAAAATAATATACAAATGTTAGATACACTAAAAAATTAAATTCCAGAACTCGAAAAAATTAGTAGATGGATCTTCAGCTCATGCCGTCATCTATACGTTTTCAAAATATTTCTCCCTATAGTTATTATCTAGAAATAAACTTAGTTCCCCATCTAACTGCCCCTTAAAACAAATCTCACTTAGGATACACTCCAGAATAGGACCCTATTCAGGTCCCGCATTAAGACAGTTCCCTAAAATAGTGTATTCCACCTATCAGATGGAAAACTTCAACATTCAGAAAACGCCATTGAAAAGGATACAACTTCTAGGATACACCCCAGAAAAAAACCCTATAAAATACGCAACAGAAACGAACTCCAACAGTAATTCGCCATGGAAAAGAACCTCATTTGTGAAATGCGCCAGAAAGCGTATCCCAATAGAAATACACCCCAGCAAAGAAATCCCACTTGGGACACTCTCCCATCTAGGATACGACACAGACAAAAGCCCCAGTCGAAATACACCCCAGCAAAGAAACTCCATAGAAATACAGCCCAGCAAGAACCCCAATAGAAATACACCCCAGCAAGAACCCCAATAGAAATACGCCCAGCAAGAACCCACTTAGGATACGCCACCGAAGAGA